AGAGTCGTTTTCGTCGCTCTGTCTCTCTCGCACTCGTGGGCGTTCCCGTGAAGGTCAGTCCGGTGGCCAGCCTTGGCTCGACTTCTTGCGCGGCCGGCCGGACCAGCGAGCCTGCATGCAGCACTCCGCATGCGGCAGCACACTGCCTGTCTGTCTCTCTCCCTCGCACTCATGGGGCTGCCCGTGTGAGAGCGAGGGAGACAGCGACAAAACGCTGTTCAGCCTGCACTGGTGCTGCGGCGCTTTGATCTCGCCGATAGCGACGCGGTTTTGCACGTGGACCTCGCTCCTGCAGGCTGATTCCGAACACTGCGTCGTCGCTCTGTCTCTCTCGGACCCCTGCGGACCGCCCCATGAGTGCGAGGGAGAGACAGAGCGACGAAAGCACTGTTCGGAATCAGTCCTCTGATCCCTAGGCAGGCGGGCAGGCAGGCGGGCAGGCAGGCACAGCTGTGCCGGGTCCAGGAGCTTCACATGCCATTCATATTATAATTTGCATGGCTGCCTGCCAACCTGGTCGAGTGGGGAGGGGCGCGAGGGGCTGCTGAGCCCTCCGAGGTGCGCTCTCCGCGTGCAAGTGTGGTGAAGTGAACTCGATCCCCCCGTCGCGCCCCCGCCCGACCTCCGCCGCCCCGATGAGGTGTGCAAGTAGTGGCGTCTTGGAACACGTGCTCCACGAGCCGTGCGCCTAGCCTACACTCGAAGAAGCGTGAACGACGGAGAGGAGGCTCAGAGACAATCTCCTCCCCCCTTTTCCAAAATTAAATAATGATTCAAAGAAATTAAATGCTTGGGCTCTTAACACGGGGAGCGGTGTCAACCAGAGTGCCACAAGCGCGGATCTAGGGAATCTACGCTCACCCCTCTTCAGGTTCTGCCAGGTCGCCTAGAAGGTAGGCAACGGGCGTCTATTTTCTCCTGTAGGCACGCAAATGGCACTGATCTGTCCCCTCCTCGGGAAAATCCTGGTTCCGTGCTTGCAGTGCCAGGGCATGCCCGCTCCCCGGGCGTTTCTATCTCAGCGTCGTGCGGCCCGGCCCGGCCTGGAACCACTCGGACAGGACAGGGCACGGCACGGCACGGCAGGGCCGAAGCAGAGCGGAGATTTGTCCGAAATGAAGATCCCCTGCACGCATTCCTCCGTTCCTCTCACTCTCTCCCTCCCGTCTTTGCTCCACCCCGTCCACCTCTCCTTCTGTTGTGACCTGCGTCCCTTTGAGCCCCTCCCCGCCCCTCCCCGCCACTCTCCGCCCAAAACCCCTTTGATGTATGTCACGTTTTAGCCCCCCTCCTTTTTATAGGCGACGTTTTTTACTTTGATCCGTTCAACCTCCGCGCTCGCAAGCGTCGTCCCTCCTTTTTCTTTGTGTCTCTCCTCGGTTTGGCAACTCTCACCTCCTCTCTGTCTCTCTCTCGGCTGCCATCGCCAGCCTGCGGCCGCACGGGATGGCGCGCGTTCTCTGCTTGATATCCGCGCGCGATATCCAATATCGGGGCAGCAATTCGCAATACGGCCCGCCGCGGTGCGCGACTTCGCCCCTTCTCTCTCTCTTCTCTCTCTCTCTCTCTCTCTCTCTCTCTCTCTCTCTCTCTCTCTCTCTCTCTCTCTCTCTCTCTCTCTCTCTCCCTCTGTCCCGTCTGCGTAACGAGCGATCTAATGAAATAGCCCTTCTCCGTCTTGCACACGGACGGTATAATTCGCTGGCCGAGCTTGTGGTGAAGTGCCCTCTCTGGCCCAAATCGGAAGGAGCCATCGTCCTAGAGCGGCTGTGTGTGTGTGTGTGTGTGTGTGTCTGTGTGTGTCTGTGTCTGTCTGTGCGCGCGCGCACGTTGGGGAGCGCGGCGGTGCGGACTCCGCGAATTACCCTGTATTACCATTCGGATGTGCTCCGGGAAGAGAAGGAGCCCCCCCCCCCCGTCCCGCCCCGCCGAGTTGGGTTCGGCGCCGGCCGCACACGCCGCCCCAAACTTGGAGCCGTTCCACACATCAGCGCAAACATAGCGTACCGGCAGGCAGGCCGCCCGGCCGGTCGGCTGCGGCCCTGCTATGCCTCGGCCTCGCCCTGCTCGAATAGCATTGCAAGTCAGTTCGCGACACACATTTTAGCCCCGTTTCCGCCCCGAACACGGCCCAATGGATTCGGGACTACTATCTGCCTGGCCAGGGGGGAGGGGGGGCGGTGCCGGGACGGGGCCGCCAAGTTGGGTCTGTGTTTGCGGGCCAATGACTCCGACCCCGTCCGTCCCAAGGGCCCCGCGGAGTCCTCGCGCAGCTTGGCGTAGCCCTCTCGCCCCCCGAGGGGCCCCCTGGACCCGCGGACCCTGCTCGCGTCGCGGCCTGAAGGGCCAGGAGGGCCAGGAGGGCCTGAAGGCTCACATTATCGTGAGCGTCGAAGCCCGCGGCCCGGCTCGGCCTATCGGTGTCATCGCACTTGGCCGAACTCGGCGGCGCCCAGCGGTGCGCGGCACAGTGGGCCGCAAGACCGGTGGAGGCGGCCAAAACTTCAGGCACGTTTTAGCTCCAAAGCTACACTGGGCTCGAACCGAACGTTTGACCCCTCCAATGGATTCCTCGTTCGGAGAGCAATCCATTGGTGGGGTCAAACGCTCGGTTCGAGTCCCACTTAACGACTCTGAAACTCAAAACGCGTCTTGAGTTTTGTCGTCCCCTGAATGTGCTTACTTCCCCGTGCGGCCCTTTGGTGGCGGCTCCATTATGTAGGCCAGCCGCGTCGCTCTGTCTCTCTCGCCCTCGTGGGGTGTTCCACGAGGGTGCGAGAGAGACAGATCAGACTACAGAGGAACGGAGGAAGTGGCCAGGACAGGAAGGTGCGCTGGAAGCGACTGGAAGAGTGCAGCTCCTTCTGGAACCGCGAACAGCCTCGAGCAGCCTCGACCGCAGGCCGGGTCATTCCCTTGGCCTGCACGTCTCGAGTCCTTCTTGTGGAAGCACACTGATAGCGCGCAACTCTCCGCGGCGACTGCAGGCTGATTCCGAGAGTCGTTTTCGTCGCTCTGGTCTCTCTCGCACCTATCCGGCTCGCCCCATGATTTCGAGAGAGACAAACGACGAGGCCGACTCTCGGAGTCAGTCTGCGGAGTCCAGCCCTGGGGCAGCCCTTGGGGCAGCCCTTCCAACCTCTCGAGGCCACGGCCAGGCCACCCCCGCGGTGCCGGCGAAGCGCGCTCGCGGAAGAGAGTTGGAAAAGCAAAGCGCTAAAGCGCAGTACGCTATTGATGATTTTTGTTGACGGCTGGCTGCGCTCACTGCGTTGCAGCAGACTGATTCCGCGAGTCGTTTGCGTCGCTCTGTCTCTCTCGCTCTCATGGGGCGTCGCGTGTAGGGGCGAGAGAGGCAGAGGGATGCAAACGACTCTGGGAGTCAGTCTACAGGCGGATTTGACTGACGGCGCGGAGACAGGGGAGAAACTTGATTCATCTTTCACCCTTCCGCGCGAGGCCCCCCGCCTCCGACCTCCGCGCGCCCCTCAGCCTGTTACCTCTTTTAAAACTTGCCGAAGGAAACTTTTCCGAAGCCTAATAATGGACCCGCTCATCTGTTTCGGAGGACGCTTAAATATTATCCCGGGAAATAATGAAAGACTCTTGAAACAATGAGGGGAACTCGTGAACCTGCAAAATCGGCTTAAGGGGGAGCGCGCCGCCGCCCCCATGCCGCCCCCATGCCGCCTCCGCGCCGACGGGCCGCCGTCCGCCGGCAGACAAACAAGCACGCCGCCTTTCAGCGCCCAGCTCGCCTCTCTCGCCTCGCTGTTTGCAGGCGGTATTTTGACGGCGTGCCTCGGAGGCCTGACTTGAAGGTCTCCTTGGATCGCAGGCCTTGCCTGGAAGGCCTTGCCTGGAAGGCCTTGCCTGGAAGGCCTTGCCTGGAAGGCCTTGCCTGGAAGGCCTTGCCTGGAAGGCCTTGCCTGGAAGGCCTTGCCTGGAAGGCCTTGCCTGGAAGGCCTTGCCTGAAGGCCTTGCCTGAGGCCTTGCCTGGAAGGCCTTGCCTGGAAGGCCTTGCCTGGAAGGCCTTGCCTGGAAGGCCTTGCCTGGAAGGCCTTGCCTGGAAGGCCTTGCCTGGAAGGCCTTGCCTGGAAGGCCTTGCCTGGAAGGCCTTGCCTGGAAGGCCTTGCCTAGAAGGCCTTGCCTAGAGGCCTTGCCTGGAAGGCCTTGCCTGGCAGGCCCTGGAAGGACCAGGCCGGAGCGCTAGAACCATGCCCCTCTGCCTCGGCCTCTGCGAGATGGGAGGGTGATGTAAGCCGAGGCGGTTCAATTTAACGCATCAAGTACCTCTCCGCCGCCGCGCCGCCGCGCTGCAGGTCGTTAGGCGCGTCCGCCCCGTCCCCGCCCCGCAGGCTGCTTCCGAACCGTGCTCTGTCTCTCTCGCACTCGTGGGCCGTTGCGTGGGGGTGCGACAGGGGAGAATCGCCGTTCGGAAGCGGACTGCGGGCCCCGCTCGGGCCCCGCCCTCGCAGCCCTGGGGCCGCGGTGCGCCTCGCGGTGCGCGGGCCGCGCGACGGAGGGAGTGCCTGGCCATGGCCTGGCCCAGGTAAATGCAGGGGCGGCCGGGGCAAGTCCTCGTGAGGGCCTCGTGTGGGGTGGCTTGGGCGTGGCGGCGTGGCCAAGTCCTCGGCGGTGCATTATTTCTCGTCCGGTTTAATATCGTGTGCCATCGCCTCGCCTTGCACCTCCACTCTTTCTCGCCCTTTTTCTCTCACCCTCTACACATTCTCTCTCTGTCTCTCTCGCTCCCGCTTTCCATTCTGCGCAAGGCCCGCAGGGGGATGCCCGCCGAGAAAAAGGTGTCGCCGTCCCTCGCGGTCCGCCCCCTTTGCCCCGCCGGCGCGGCCAAGTGGTTGATTTCGTTCAATTTGGCAGTGTGCTCGGCCGTGCCCGGTGTGGCTCGGTGAGGGAGTCGAGCGGCGCACTCCAGAGGCGTGTTCCTTGGCGCAACTAATTTCTTTCTCTAATTTCTTTCTCTCTCCCCTGTGTTGCAGACCATGTCCGGGACTTCTCCTGCGGCAAGATGTACTACCGCGTCATGCACCTGGACGACTCCAAGGACTCCCTCTACGTCGGCGCCATGTGAGTTCAAGGGCGGGTCCAGAATCGGCCTGAGGGAGGGGAAAAGTAATACACTGCGCATTTTTGCCTGTCTGCAGAGGCAAAGTGTTGCTTTTGGCCTTTTCATCACAGACGAACTATGCTTTTTGACTAACTTTCAGGCGGATTTTTTTGAACCGAAAGTGTGGCTTATTCAGTTAACGAGTTCCGATATCCCACCGACTTCCGACCGACGTAGGACCGACTTCGTGCCGACTTTCAGCTGGGGTCGCCCGCTGGATTTCCTGTTTTTGCCATCCTTGTTTTCGGTGCTTACTTCCTTTTACTTGGATTGATTGTTTTTAAGGTCGCCCTTCAGTGTGAAAACTCATAAATACCCATTACTTTGAATATATAAAGATTGCCCCCTCCACGAGAGGCAGCCGAAAGTCGGTACAAAGTCGGTCCTACGTCGGTCGTAAGTCGGTGGGATGTCGGACTCGTTAACTGAATAAGCCAGTGGAAGCCGGGGCAAGGCTTGTGTTGTGCCTCTCCGGAAGTCGGCCTCTTGCATCCGTTAGCGCGTCGATAGCGTGAGCAGAACTCCGCGCCCCTCTAACACTTCTCCCCGCCTTTGATTCCAGGGACCGAGTCTTCCGGTTGAACCTCGCCAACATTTCCCAGTCGAGCTGCGACGTGAGTATTTGCACAGACATCAATTTCTCTGGGCGACGCCGCGTTTCCGCGAGGGGAGGTTGACTTGGCGCCAAAATGTTGCATCGAGTATCGAACGCCGCCAGCGAATACGCGTCGTGGATGCCGCACAGCGTGCCGCCGCTCTGTCTCTCTCGCACCCAACACCCCACGAGTGCGAGAGAGACAGAGCGGCGCGTGACTGCCGGGCAGTTTGGCCCGAATCGGAGCCAATAATGACAAGGACTTGGACCAACGGGAGACGTGGGGACGCGACGCACCGTGAAGGAACCTGAACCTGACTCTCTTCTGTTGCAGCGGGACTCGCTGAGCCTGGAGCCCAGCAACGTGGCGCAGTGCGTGTCCAAGGGCAAGTCGGAGGTAAGGAAGGGCTAGGAAGGGCGTGCCGCCTCAAGGACCGCCTCGTCGTCCTGTCTCTGTCGCACTCACGTCCTGCTTGGGGGCGAGAGGGACAGAGCGGCGAATCGATCCTTCGGAGTCGCTCGGCTGGCGGGGCGCGCAAACAATCACGCTTTGGCAATTAACGTCAATTCTGGACCTCGTGAACGGCTAGAGGTAGAAAAGTTGTTACTCACAGGTGCTCAGACTGCGAACCTCAAATGCGGGCAGTCTGCTACAGCCACCCTCTACTTGGGGTGGTCTGAGTCATAGGATCTCAATGCACTTTTGTTTTGTCTCTAGCCGTTTACGCGACACAGAAACAACTTTTTTTTGCGATGCGAGGTCTCTGGCAGTGTGGTGATGGCTGTCCTTGTTGTTGCAGCAATTCGACTGCCGGAACCACATCAGGGTGATCCAGCCCATGGCGGACGGCCGCCTCTACGTGTGCGGCACCAACGCCCACAGCCCCAAGGACTGGGTCATTTACGTGCGTATTCCCTGGTGCCCGTCATTCAGAGGGCAGTGGCTCGGCAGTGGCGGACCCAGAGTCAGGGGGCAAACCTTTGCCTACTTACCTTGGGCAAAGTGTTGCTTTTTGCCTACCTTTCAGATGGCTGTCCACGCGGCAAAAGCGGTTCCTTGTTTACCCAGGAACTCCCTGGAAACCGTCTGTGTCTTTACAATAGGCTTCCTGGGAAAACCAGGAACCGCCTTTGCCGCGTGGGGAACAAAAGGGGAAAAGAGGGAGGGACTTTTGCCCCCCTCTGGATCCGCGCCTGTCGGAGGGACGGCCGTTTCCGAAATGAGCTGCCCTGTCTTACGTCGTCCGCTCCCTCTTCCCGCATGCGACTGCAGTCCAACCTGACGCACCTGCCGCGGCACGAGTACGTCCCCGGCGTGGGCATGGGCATCGCCAAGTGCCCCTACGACCCCTCGGACAACTCGACCGCCGTGTGGGTGGAGCGCGGCAACCCCGGCGACTTGCCCGGCCTCTACTCGGGCACCAACGCCGAGTTCACCAAGGCCGACACCGTCATCTTCCGGACGGACCTGCACAACCTGACCACGGGCCGCAGGGAGTACACGTTCAAGCGGACGCTCAAGTACGACTCCAAGTGGCTCGACAGTGAGTATCTCTTTATCCCTCCATCCTAGAGTCCTTATGCACCGTAAAACGGAGTAACTTTGGCCCATTGGGGGAACTTTGGCCCTTGGTCTAGAAATGCAATGTAAGTTCTAGTTAATTACTTTAGTCACATTTTAGCCGCAGAGCCAAAGATACCCGGGTGCGGGTGGGCAAAGTTACCCTGGTTAATGGAATTTTTAATTATTTATTTTGTTTTTGTTTTGCATTTTTAATCTAATGACTTTTATCTTCCTTTCCGCAGAGCCAAATTTTGTCGGATCATATGATATTGGCAACTATGTCTACTTCTTCTTCCGGGAGACTGCAGTGGAGTATATTAACTGCGGCAAGTCTGTATACTCTCGTGTTGCTCGAGTGTGCAAGAAGGACACTGGTGGCAAGAATATTTTGTCACAGAATTGGACAACGTATCTAAAGGCTAGGCTCAACTGTTCCATCCCTGGAGAGTTCCCATTCTACTTCAATGAAATCCGTAAGTTAATTGTCATTACTTTGCGTTTTCTTCACATCAGGAGGTTGTGCTGATATTTTTTGCCATTTTTTTTTTGTGTGCAGAAAGCATTTACAAAGTGCCTGGAGATGACAACCGTTTCTATGGAACATTCACCACCTCTACCAATGGACTGATGGGCTCAGCTATCTGTTCTTTTACAATTGAAGACATTGAGGAAGCTTTCCGAGGGAAATTTAAAGAACAGGCCCATTCATCATCAGCATGGCTCCCAGTTCTTAGCAACCGGGTTCCTGAGCCTCGCCCTGGTGAATGTGTGAATGACACAGAAACTCTGCCTGGTGAGTTTTAACCAACTGACAAGTTAAATGTTTGGATTTGAAATATTTGTTTAAAAAGCCTGTACTAAGCCTTCTATTTCTTGTTTTTCAGACACTGTGCTTAACTTCATCCGTTCCCACCCTCTCATGGATGCTGCCGTTTCCCACGAGCGGGGAGTCCCTGTATTCTTCAAACGCGATTTGATTCTCACTCACCTTGTTGTCGACAAAATCAATATCAATGTTGATGGAGAGGAGAGGAACTATGTTGTTTACTATACTGGTTCAAGTAAGTATTTGAATTCAGAGATGGCTTTGTTCAGCCTATTTTTACATGATTTGAGATTTTAATATATTTTCTTCCTTGCACAGATGTTGGTAGAGTTTACAAAGTTGTGCAGTGGGTGAGATCTGATGGGGAGCCGCAATCTATTCTTCTTGATGTTTTTGATGTCACACCCGGTGAACCAATCAGACTGATGGAGATTTCTAGAGAGGTGAGCAAATGCTTCTTCACATTCCCTCTAGTTAAATGTTTCATCTTTTTTTCGCCTTGGACTCACTAATAATACCACTTTCATTTTGCTTTATCATAGCACAAGTCATTGTATGTAGCCTCCGACCATCGTATCCGTCAAGTTGATCTCGTAATGTGCAACAGGCGTTATAACAACTGCCTCAGATGTGTTCATGATCCCTACTGTGGTTGGGACAAGGATACATCAACCTGCAAAAGCTATGAATATGGGTATGAAAAATTGATTTGATGTCTTCAGTTAAATTTAGTGTTGCTCAGTGTTGCTCATAGAAGTTTGTTTATTTTGTGTGTTTTACAGTTTGCTTCAGGATGTATCTAATGCCACTGCTGGAGTCTGTGACTCTTCAGTTTTAAAGAAGAAACTTGTTGTTACTTGGGGGCAGTCTATACACTTGAGCTGCTTCCTTAAAATGCCAGAAGTTTTGAGGTCTCAGACAGTAACATGGTACCACTATTCCAAGGAAAAGGGTCGTTATCAAATTCAATTCCGGTAAGCGATCACGTGCCTTTGAATGTTTTCTTCAGTCATGAATCTTAAAAAGAATGATAACATGACCCTCATTCATTTTTCACAGTGCCGACAAATACATTGAAACCTCTGAACATGGCCTAGTGATCCTAGGTGTCACTGAGGCTGATGCAGGTCGTTATGACTGCTGGATGGGAGGCTCTCTGCTTTTGTCCTACAACATTACAGTTGATGCCCATCGGTGTCTTTCACCAAACAAAAGCCAGGATTATCAGAAAATTTATTCTGACTGGTGCCATGAATTTGAAAAATACAAAATGGCCATGAAAACATGGGAGCGCAAACAAGCAGTAAGTTCTAAGAGAAAAAAAAATTGAACTATTGAACTTGAACGAATGCTTTGTCTCTTTACCTCACCAATTTTTTCCTCTTTCTCTCTCTCTCTCTCTTAGCAATGCAGTTCGAGGAAAAACGACAGTAATCAAAATGCACACCCTAATGAAATATATCATGGTAGCCCTCTCCTTTGATAGACATTTGGTGATGTCTGATGGACTGAAGACTGATTTGCTGAAATACTCCAGTTAACATCAGCATATTTGTATAATGTGTGTTCTGTTCTGGAGAAATCAAATGCAATAATGTATTTAAATCAAGAGACACTTCTACTTTTGAAGACTATTGATATTGTTGTGATTGGTGTGTTGTCTGTGTGTGCTTGCTTGTATGAGACATTTTCCAGTGATTTCTACCTTAGTTATGAATTAGAAACAAAAATGTCTTGATTGATTTGAATTAAAACTTGTGACTTTAAATCTGTCTCAGAATTCTAAAGGAAGAGATAGTTAAGTTTGGTAGGGAAAACCTTAACAGTGTTCTGTGCCTGATAATTTTTTTTTTTAAATTTACTTTTGAGAAGTTTGTGAGCACTGTTTTTGGATGGTCTAGGCAGGATTAATCAGAAGTTCCTCATCACGCACCCTGAACCCCAAAAAAGAGGGGGAAGCCATGTGAGTGCCAAGGTTTCATCTAACAGTTAAAAATTTCCTCACCAAGTACTGTAATGTTTAAGCTTACTACATTTATGTTCTAAGAAATATCCATTTGACCATCAAAGTTTCTATTTGAAGCCTCATGATTCTTTGATTACCAATCTTGCCTCTTCCCCACCCAATTCATTCATAAACTTGTTAATTTTAGGAATGTTATTTAATTTAAGGCTAGGTTATATGTCTTGTTAATGAACAAATGTAAATAATATGGCTTAGTTACTTGAGTTAATATTTGTGTTTGGAAGAGTTAATGTTCTGTGTCTACAAACATTTGGATACGTTGAATACGTATAAACACCTAAATTAAGGCTTTCATTTTTATTTTAAGACACTCTTGTTGCATAGCTTCCCTTTTGCCACCATCTGTTCCCTAATGTACATTTATGAATATAGAGGACTATTTACAGATAAATCTGATATTTTTTATGCCCTTTGTAGAAGAATTGTGATGATAGTTGAATGTATGATAATGTTTGAATGTTGTTATGTATTAACCCATTCAGTTTGGTTTTTCCCTTTAAAAGTCAGTGTTTCTTTTGCATTGAGGGGTGCTTATATCAATGACATATTGTTTCTGTTACTCTGTTGATTTCTCTCTTTTTCCAATACCTTTGCTATAGTAAGTGTATGATTGATTCGCCTTTAGACCTGTATGACTCATCCTTGCCCATTGACTGTTAATTATTTTTCAGCATTCACATGTCTGTGTAGCAGCTGTGCTTGTTTTGTTCTGCAAGTCCATGAGCAATAATTTACAGTGTATTGATATTACATTATTGGCAAAGATTTAGTTGTTAATCCTTATGTATTTTCTCTGACCATTCTTTAATTATAGAATGATAAGTAGGCACTTTGAATATGACATCATTGCAGTCAGTTAAGTCTGCAAGCCATCTATTGTTTCTAGAATTTTTATATCTTGCCTCTTTTGGATATGAGCACAGCAATGTATTACCTGTGTAATTTACTTATGCCCGCTCTAGAGCATTTGAAATTCTTTATGAAATTGTTGTATTTGTTCTGAGTTCTGATGAATAGAAATACCTTATTTTGATTTGTGTTAAAAACAACTTTTACTCATAGTTTCATAGTTTAATGAAATATATAACATATCTCACTCTCTCCTACTCAGATTTAGGAATCATGTATTACAGTTGTATTTTTCACTGAGCAGAAGTCAACGTCACAAAACAACCCAAAATCTTGTTCTGCCATTTCAATTTTCATGTGGTCAAATGTGTTCAGAGAAAAAGACATTCATTTGTGTCAAGACGTGTTCTGATTTATGTTGTCAAATTTAGTCACAAAGAGTAAAACTTTTTTTTTTCTTTTTTGATCATTGAAACTTTGGAACACGGGAAATATGTTGGTGCTTCAAGGAAAATATGACTGTTTTGAGTTTGGAAATGTTCCTTTCCTCGTTTGAAAGCTATGCATTTCAATACTTTGATTTCAAACTCTTGAAACATTTTATCTTTGAGACAAAAGTGATTCTGATGCAAAAAATGGAAAATACGATGTTTAGTTGACAACTACATACCTAGTTTTTTTCTTCTGGTAAATCAGAACACTTCATTTTTATATTTTTAAGTGAGTGTGAGATCTTGGTATAGTGTGGACAGCAGCAGAATGGCACACTGCCGCTGCGCCGGACAGTGCCCAGCTGTGATATATAGTTAGCATTCGACCTACCTTTAAAAACCATCAGTGTTGCCATCTTTTTAGAAAAAAGTTTTCCTAAGTTGATCAATCAATATTCCAGAATTTCTTAAACCTGCTCAGTGCCACCACAAATAGTTCAACGTTGTGCAAATCATGGCATTGCTATAGATGTTTTTAATGTTGTTATAGCGTCCTAATAGGAAAATGAAACTTTCATTTCAAATATGTCTTAGAGCTGTCATTGCAACGAGACAATGACATTGGCATCTCTTTTCTAGAGGCTTAAGGTGGCAACGCTGATTATTAAGGCCTTAATTACATGCACTGATGTATGTATTTACAATCTGAAGGGGCATATGTGGGTTAAATCCTCCTTTCTCACCACATAGCTGTAATACAGTATGTCTCTTTCTCAGTGTTTCATTTGTTTTACTGAGCTCTCTCCCTCTCTATCTCTCCTACCTGCCAAGTTTATTTTTAAATAAATCTAAGTAGATTCCTGCTTTGTTGTGTAGTGAGAGATTAATCTGAAAACACAATAACACCTTCATATTTTGTATTGATAAATTTCAGCTGTAAAGTGTTGTAAATACAACAAGTGTCATGTTTCTCTCATGAATTCTGTTGTTTTTTTTACTCGGACCCGAAATACCCTCGACACGAAAACAACCTCACCGTTGCGGAGAGAGAGGTCCACACCCTCACCTCAGTTTAATCGAAAAATTGAAAAACCCGGAAACGGATATGAATGATTGGTTGACTGTGCAATCCACGTGACCCACACTCCACAACCAAAACTTACGCGGAATACCGACAAAATGTCTCGATAAATAACTTCACTCCTTATCCGGGATTTATGAAATCACTTTTGAAGAACGTTGGATCTGAAAATCTGTAAGAGCCAAGTCAGAACGTAATTAATTAGTAGCAGCATGCATTACGCAATGTTGGTACCCTTCACTTCGCCCCCGACCTTCCCCTACCTGCCCTCCCCGTTTCTCTCCCTCCTGGCAAATCAAATCTGACCAACAGACCAGATGGGCCGTCGTGGTGCTCGCTCGTGTCGGCATCGTTCGGGAACACACCCGATCCGCTGACGCAAGTTCAAGATGGAGGACACCATGGCGCAAGAGAGTTAGCCGATTATCCCGAATGTTTCTTCTGAATACTCTTAAATTTAAGAATCGGAAGTGTCTTTGCTAGTGTAGTGCCTGTTGCAATCTGTGGATCCCACTGAGGAACGAGAAACATGAGTGTTGACGCGTACGGGCCGAGCTCTCAGACGCTCACATTCCTAGACACGGAGGAAGGAGAGCTTTTAGGCGCTGACACGCAGGGCTCAGAGTTCGACTTCAATGACTTCACCATTCCGTCGCAAAGCCAGACGCAGGCGTCGCAAATAGACGTCGGACAGAGCCAGGCGACCCAGAGCCAGGTAAGGGCATAACCTCACTTTGGTGTACTCGTTGTGGCGCGGAGCTGCTCGGGCGCTCTGCGCTGCTGCGCTATCGCTCGGCCCCGCCGTGCCAGGCCAACCAGGGCCCAGGGCTAGGGGCATCGGGCTGCCGGGGCCGCGTGTCACGTTCGGGCTTATCACCACTGCCTTAGACATCGTCTGGCACGAGTAGGAGACCCGCCCGAGCTTCGGGGAGGCGCCTCTCACACCCTGGCAGTGCTGGCAGCAATGGTTGACATAGGCCCCTCTGCTGGAGTCGCGGGGTGCAACTCCCTTCCCCCTGTTGCCTGTATGTTGTTGACTGTTGAATCTGACCGCCACTTACATGACACAAGCCAATCATTTGTCACATGCTGTGATCACCTCTAGTTTCCATTCCTCATTGCGTGTCTACCCCCTGTTGAATGGTGACCGTACCACACTGTTGTGGTTGTGTTGCAACCCCTTATTTCCTTTGATTTTTGTGGCAGTTTGATTTCTTAAGAGCTTTACTGTTTAATTTGAAAGACTACCTTTGACAGATTTGTTCAGATTAATACGAAGTATTGGCTAGTGTTACACTTATGTCCCGGGGGAAGTCCACACAAGCAGCCTTCCCTAACTTTGTAGCTTCCTTGGATGATAGAAACCTCTAATGCAATGTCCCTTGACTCTTGATGTTGTCTCTGGCCTTTTAAGAATTTGCCTTGAACTGCCCTGACCTGTAACAGTACTGTCCCTGTTTTCTGTCAATTCTCATTATGTAATGTTTGACACCCATAACATTGCTCTTATTTTCAACCAGACTTTGTTTCCATTTTGTTATTAGGTCAATGGTGAAAGTAAACCAAATGGCTTGGAAATCAATGTTGCCATCACAACTCAGAAATTAGGGGAGCTTCAATTTGAAGAGGAGGAAGATGACTCTTACTACAACAAGGTATTACAATTGCTACAATTGCAGTATAAAATAATTTTGAAAAAAAAATGAAAACAAAAGTGTTTGCCAATAATAATAATAATAATAATAATAAATTTATATTCAAGGAACTCCCTGCTTATGCTTGTAAATATTGCGGCATTCATGATCCGAGCTGTGTGGTATTGTGCAATGTTTGTAAAAAATGGTTCTGCAATGGTAGAGGGAATACCTCTGGGTCACACATAATCAACCATCTTGTAAGGGCTAAACACAAGGTAAGAAGCAGACACAGCATAACTTGCGTTTTTTGTTTTTTTTTTAAAGTAAAGGAAAATGTGTTGACTCATGTGCTTTCTTTTTTTTAGGAAGTGACATTGCACAAAGATGGTCCCCTTGGAGAAACAGTTCTTGAGTGTTACTCTTGTGGAGTTCGTAATGTGTTTGTGCTGGGCTTCATTCCTGCCAAGGCTGACTCAGTGGTAGTACTACTGTGCCGTCAGCCTTGTGCTGCTCAAAATTCTCTTAAGGATATGAATTGGTAAGGAAATTGTCCGCTTTGTTTAAAATGTTAAAAATTAATTATTTTTTATGACGTGCATGATTGGCTGTTTCAGGGATCAAGAACAATGGAAGCCTCTAATATCAGACCGGTGCTTTCTGTCTTGGCTTGTGAAGATTCCATCTGAGCAAGAACAACTAAGAGCTCGCCAGGTTTCAGCACCTCAAATAACAAAACTGGAGGACTTGTGGAGAGACAATGTAGAAGCAACATTTCAAGATCTTGAAAAGCCAGGTGTGGATGAGGAGCCCCAGCAAGTTCTCCTCAGATATGAGGATGGCTACCAATATCAAAATATATTTGGTCCTCTGGTGAGGCTGGAGGCTGATTATGACAAGAGACTGAAGGAGAGTCAAACTCAAGAGAACATGGAAGTGCGCTGGGATGTAGGCCTCAACAAAAAGATAATAGCTTATTTCAACATGGCTAAAACTGACACAGACATGAAACTAATGCATGGAGATGAACTGCGCCTCCGATACCTAGGAGATATGCATAAACCATGGTCTGGTGTTGGGCATGTCATCAAAATCCCAGACAATTTTGGCGAGGAAGTTGGCATTGAACTGAAATCCAGCAGCAATGCTCCAACAGAATGCACTTCTAACTTTGTTGTTGACTTTATCTGGAAGTCAACTTCTTTTGATCGAATGCAGTTGTCTCTGCGGAAATTTGCTGTTGATGATACCTCTGTGTCTGGATATATTTATCACAGGCTCTTGGGACATGAAGTTGAAGAAGTCTTGTTCAGGTGCCATCTGCCAAAGCACTTCTCTGCTCCAAATTTACCTGATTTGAACCGTTCTCAGGTTTATGCTGTTAAACATGCTCTCCAAAGGCCCCTCTCCTTAATTCAAGGTCCACCAGGCACAGGAAAAACTGTGACATCAGCAACAATTGTTTACCAGTTGGTAAAGCAGAGTGGGGGACCTGTGCTGGTGTGTGCTCCTTCCAACATAGCTGTTGATCAACTTACTGAAAAAATTCACAAGACTGGGCTGAAAGTTGTGAGGTTGTGTGCTAAATCACGCGAGGCCATTGACTCCCCTGTGTCCTTCTTGGCTCTGCATAATCAAATCAGGAATATGGATGCTGCAACTGAACTTCAGAAACTTCAGCAGCTCAAAGATGAAACTGGAGAATTATCCTCAGTTGATGAGAAACGTTACCGAATGCTGAAGAAATCTGCCGAAAAAGAGCTGCTTGATGCTGCTGATGTTATCTGCTGTACCTGTGTCGGTGCTGGAGATCCTCGTCTAGCTCGAATCAAGTTTCATTCGATTCTAATTGATGAAAGTATGCAAGCAACTGAGCCAGAGTGTATGGTTCCTGTCATCCTTGGTGCCAAGCAGGTAATTAGCTAGCTTTTGTGTTTCACTTATGATTCTGTTCTTTGTATGAATAGAGACATAATTTTTATCATTGATTTTATTGCAGTTAATACTTGTTGGTGATCATTGCCAGTTGGGTCCGGTTGTTATGTGTAAGAAAGCAGCCCGTGCTGGCTTATCCCAGTCTTTGTTTGAGCGTTTGGTAGTCCTGGGAATTCGTCCATTCCGCTTGGAAGTGCAATACAGAATGCACCCTGAGCTGTCGAGGTTTCCTTCCAACTTCTTCTATGAAGGTTCTCTTCAAAATGGAGTATGTGCTGGTAAGTATGTGTGAAAAGTTCATTCAAATTATTGGATCTGTTCTTTAAGTCATTGTGTTAAACACATGTTCCTTGTTTTTTTATGTGTGTGGTTTTTTTTGTTTTTAGACGAGAGAAAGCTTAATAAAATGGACTTCCCTTGGCCTGTCCCTGAAAAGCCGATGCTGTTTTATGTGACACAAGGTCAAGAAGAAATTGCTGGTTCAGGAACATCATATTTGAATCGAACTGAAGCCTCAAATGTTGAGAAAATTACAACCCGTTTCTTGCGATGTGGAGTAAAGCCAGAACAAATTGGTGTCATCACCCCCTATGAGGGTCAAAGAGCCTATTTGGTATGTTTTACAACCAATTTTTAAAACATGTTTCACATATGAGGAATCTTTCCTAATGATTTTTCTCATCCTTTCTTTTTATTTAATTCAGGTTCAATATATGCAGTATCAGGGAGCATTGCATTCTAAACTTTATCAAGAAATAGAAGTTGCAAGTGTTGATGCCTTCCAAGGGCGTGAAAAAGATCTTATCATTATGTCCTGTGTTCGATCTAATGAGCACCAAGGCATTGGTTTCTTAAATGATCCTAGGCGTCTAAATGTTGCCCTAACTAGAGCAAAGTATGGTATTATAATAGTTGGTAACCCTAAGGTTCTATCAAAGGTGAGCCCAAGTAATGCTTTTAATGATTTCAGAAGCCTTGACTTAAACTTTCTTGAAACAAAAATTAATCTTAACTGATAATTTCTTCTTGTTTTCAGCAACCTTTGTGGAATAATTTGCTGAATTTCTATAAGGAACAAAAAGTGTTGGTTGAAGGACCTCTAAACAACTTGAAGGAGTCCATGATTCAATTCTCAAAGCCCAAGAAATTGGTAAACGCAAGCAATCCTGGAACCCACTTTATGTCAACAACTGTGTATGATGCTAGAGAGGCCATGGTGCCAGGATCAATTTACGATCGCAGTGGTCAAATGAATGGGAATCCATACTTTGGCAGGAACGCTGGCGGAGCGGGTGGAGGTAAGTTACTTGAGTTCAGCCTATTTCTTTTGTGCTTTATTATTACAGTTCAGTAATAATTTTTTTCCCCAGGAGGTATGAGCAGTATGGATATGTTTGCAAGAGCCCATGATCCAATTGGATATATTTCTCCTGAGAGGGCACAAGCTGCCCTTTCCAACATGCCTGTTCCGGTTGGTATGTTCATGAACATGGCTCATGTTCCACCGAGATTCTACAATCAACACCAACAGGCAATGCAAGCTCGTCAGAACCAGAGAGGACGTGGTCCTTTACCCAATGGCCGAGCCCCTCCTAAAACGAAGGGTCGCCTTGGTAAGGCTGGCTTAAGTCAGGGAGCTGCTAGCCAAGACAATACCCAACCGTACAGCCAGGGCATCCCTCTAACCCAAGGAATGTCTCAGGTAATGTGGTTTCTGGTGCAAAGAACTACTCTTCTGTTGTTCCTTTCTGCATTTAACTTGATGATGATGAAATAAAGTTGTTAATACAGCTTTTCTGTTTCCTTCTGTAGGGTATGTCACAGCCAGGATTTAGCCTTTCCCAGCCAGGCTTGTCTCAAGCCGAATTGTCACAAGACAGTTATATGGTAGGAGAGTTCCAATCGCAAATGGATGGTATGCTGTCTCAAGATTCCACCTACCAGGGAGACCGTTCTGCTTTCTATGCTGGACCAACGCCAGGAAATCAATTTTCACAGGTGAGATAGGTTGAGCATTTTTTTGAGACAAAAATCTATGGTTCACCCATGGAAGAAATGTTCTACATGTGCTCTTGTGATTTTCAGCCATACTGAGCTTAAATGGGACTTAAACTCAGCTAATACACTGGAAAGTGAATGCTTTATTTGTGATCCCGAATCGATGTGGAGAACCCAGCTGCTGTGAACAGTGAGGGTAGAACGCAACACTGAAGAGGCTGAAAAGGATTGAAGGGGATTGCTGGAAGAGCAGTACAGTGCAGCGCACTGGTACAGTTTCACTGTACTCTTGAGTGGCACGTCCATTTGACCTGGACTTGGTAGGGCTGTGTCCCTTGTGCACTCTCGTTTTAAAGGGAAATTATTGTATTTCCTTTGACCAAACATGTCGGGTGAACTAAAGCAGGTTTCTTTGGTGGAGATCCAAAGCCATAGACACCTGCTGGTCCATCTTCAAGTTAAGTTTGGGCCAATCACTCCCTTTCTTTATACAATTTCAATTGTGAAAATAAATCTCTATTGAACTGGAAATATCAGCCCGGCTTCATTGTTAGTTTTTTTTTGTTTTTATTTTTAACTTGTAGATTTTTCTCATAGGCATAAATATCTTTACAGGGCTCAGACAGGTTTTATTGATTGATTATGTTTGATCTGTCTGTCTGACTGTATTGCCATCAATTTATTCATTGGTTTCTTCCTAAACTTTTGGTTTAAACTGGCCGTTATTGATCTTCATTGCACAGTGATTTCTCAACCAATATAAATTTTAGGTGCCAGTTTTATTTTTCTTATTCTGTCAAATTAAAATCAATAATGGTTCTGGTTTCTCTTAAATCAATTATGATCAATGATTTTTGATGCATGTTGCTTAAAATTTGTTCATGCACAGTATATGCCACCATTTCTTGACCTTTACTTGAAGATTGCAATAAAACCCCCAATTGTACTTCAACTCAACTGATTTTTGTGTCTCAAATTTTTGCTAGTAAAATGGTTTTATTTCTTAGCATTCTGTAGCTGAAAAGTACTAGTTCTGAAGAATGCCTGAAAAGAATAATTCTATGTTAGTCTCAATGTTTGGGAGCATGTCACAAAGTACTAGACATACTCTCTTACCAGTGTCTTTTGATTGAATTAACCTAGGACTTTTGAATTAATGAAATCTTTGAAGGTTATTTTCAATGGAACCTAGGTAGTTTCAAACCTGTTTCTCTACTTTAAAACAATTTTCATTTGGTTTTGTATTATTGAGGAGGGGGTCTTGCTGTATGGAGGCATCTGTGATAATGTCTGGATGTGGTTGTAAGAGTGTACATTCTAAATAATTTTAATCTTTTCATACAGCCGTGAGTGCACATTAAAAATATGAAAGGAGAAGACCAATCAATATTCATTAAAAGAAATGATTGTGTTTTGCAAGCTTGGTTTAACAAGATTCAATGCATAGATGGCTTCTTGCCTCCATCCTTCATTGTTTTTTCTTCTAAGATTCATGAAATGTTCCACTGGTCTGTCTTGTTGATTGTGGCATGACTATTATTATCAATTTTCCAACTTAAAGTCTCAAATGAAGATAAATGCACTCAATAAAACATCTTTCGCGGAGTCGTGTGGAAATGGAATTCTGGGATCGTAATTTTTTTGACCAGGTAGACAACGCTTCCTATAATTGACGAAGTGTATGATAATTGGGAAGTTACTTTAAAATAATTGCGAGTCAGGGAAGTCATGATGCCAAATTATGGCTGTCATCTGAATGTTATCTTCATTTCCATTCAGGTGTAGTTCTGTTGAACTCAAGCATTTAGATCAATTCCAAAGTGAACTCTTGGACTTAACATTATTTAAACCACAAAATTTTAACTTCTGTTATACAGAGAACAACCAAGAAACATTAGGACCCTAGTGTGCTAATAGATGGCCATACTATTTTTTGTCCATTCTTTGCGTCTTTTGAAATAAAATTTAAAATGTTCACCAAGTGTACCAATACCAATAAAATTATGCAGAAAATCTGTACCAAGAAAATGTTGTTATCATTTCTCCCATTCTGACTTCTTTGTAGCGGCAGCTGAAGGGACATGGCCGGCGATTGAAAATTTAGTCACTTGTCAGGTCTCGACCAATCAGAGGTCTCCATTTCTCCCGACACGCTGCTCCAAAAGCAGTGCTGTGGCGGAAAATATACCAAGCAGGGATTTGAACTTGAACCAAAGTTCTCAAAGTTCTTTTGGGCCAAAAATTTAAAATGACCCATTTTGGAGAATGTTGTGCTAGAATCTGAAAATGTGGGATGCGATTTTCATTTGTCAAAGGTTGGTAAAATTTAAATAAAATATAAATTTTGATGGGGGATTTTATATTTAATAACAAGGTTGCAATACAAAATGCAGCATAATACTTTTTGTTTCATGGTTGAAATTTGACATAGGCAGTCTCCAGAAACATGATAATAAATGTGTTGTACACAGAATCAACTTACAAAACACATGTTTGCGAATCTTGGGCTGGATAATTCAAAACCATGACGAGTTTCATATGAAGCTAGCACATTTCCATCCCTCTGTAAGAAAAACCATAAAATCACAATTTGACTTTTCTACAAAGTGAATCTAAGTTACTATCCAAGCCAACTCTCAACTCAGGCTGGACTTTGATGTGACAGTTCAGAATTGGTTCAAATTTGCAGAATAGGAGGGGTTCAGCTTTGGACAATCACTATCACAAAAATTTCTTGGCAGTCTTTGGACACCCTGCTGCACATTCTACTGGCCTACTAAAAGTTTCTGCTATTTTTGCTGCAGTAGTGTGCTCTGACACAATCTCTGTGTGTCCCTCAAAAGCACAAATTCAGACTTGAACACTCTTTCACTTAAGAAAGAGGGGTCAAATAAAAGTTTATGAATAATTTTCCAGACTAAAATGATAATTTACAGTAGTTAATGAAAAAAAACTTAGTAATTGAAAACAAAGAATAAATATAATTATGATGTCAACACGTAACATTGATTAAATCACATACTGTACTTCTAATACTTTAATAAGAATAATTCCTTAATGACCAAAGGTCAAAGATTATAAGCTTGGAATAATTTTTGGAGTGCAGCTTCCACCATAAGTTGCTATACCTCAATATTTTCATATATCGGTTTATGACTACCAATTTAGGTAGTCTCAGTCAAAAATACTGTCATGATATGATATGATGTGTTCCAATGAGGTTATTTCATCAACCATTGCAGGAATACTACCAGTAAATAATGTAAGGTCTGGTGTGGGCATAAGGGTGGGAGCCAACACAGTGCTGAGGTTGTGAGATGTCATCTTGTTGAGCTCATGCAATTGGGCCACCCTAAATTTAAGGAAAGAAGATAGATTAATAACATCAGCAAATATACAGTCCATAATAATAAGATAAAGTAATGGGAACTTATAATAGTTTTAATTTTCTTTAAACTTACATACCTGTGTAAGTGCTCAACAAAGTACTTTAATGTGTAAAAATGAGGTGCGGGTAAAAGGGACAGAGCATCCTTGATCCCTCTCAGTTTCAGTTGCAAAGATTCAGCCTCTAAATTAAGGAACAATGTGGGGTCAAAGTGAAAAAAAGCACCGGGGATCATAAGCGCAAAAAATGAGAAGACACATAGTACTCACGGGCCGCTTTCATCAATGCAGGGTGAGCTTCAAAAGTTATCAATGGGATTGGAAGCAATCTAAGGTACAGTTTCAAAGTACCTGCTATCACATTGATGTTGTCATATGCTTGAGGACTTATATCAGCCTGTTCTCCATCTGGAATTGAATTGGGGGTTCACAAATGGTACAATTTGACAGTGTTCTAATATGATGGCAAATGTTAAGCACTTGAGTACCTCTATCCAATGCAAGCTTTAAAGAGGCAATTTCATCCTGAAAGCCAGATACTCGATAAAGCCCTTCTGATGTTAGCCCTCGTTTCTCCATCTCAGCAATGCACTTATCTAACACCCATGGACGCTGACTACGGTGAGCTTTGACCAAAGTTGCCAAATCTAGTCCAAATACCCCACGTAAATTTTTAAAGTCCGGCTGACAATCAGGTGGTACTTTCTCTGAGCAACGATTGTGAGCACTAAATCCACAATCTGAAAGGTAATAAACAAACAGGCGATAAGGTATTTTTAATCTTGTAACAGATTGTAGTATGAAAAATTATTATTACCTTCACACTTTACTCCTTGAGCAGTAAATCCCCACAAGAAGTTTCCACATAACTCACACCAATTCAAACCTTTAAATGTATGCACTCGAAAGGAGTGTGATTTTAAATCTAATCCTTCTGCTTCAGTTGAAACAGCAATTGCTTCACTCAAAGCACTTTTCCTTTCCCCAACTGGGAGCCCGTCTACTGCTGCAATCTGCTGCTTCCTGAAAGAGACAAGGTATCATATAACTAAGTGCTTGGTTGTATCACCATGATCAACTATACAGAAGATGATTTTTGACATACCTAGTAGAATGCTTTTTCAGAGCACGCCTTTTGAGCTTATTGAGAGTCATGTATGGACTTTGTTCGTATGAATGCTGGTGCATTCTTTCAATATAGTGAGCTGCATGTTGCTCCATGTGCAATGTGACAAGACCATCAGCAACTAACTCCTTAACAGAATCGTATCGTTTGTCACTGGCACGCACATAAAACTGGCCATCATAATACAATTTGTAATGACTAACTTTGTTATTAAAACTAAAAAGAAACCAAGACTGTATAAACTCAGTAAATGCAAGACCAAGATCATAGAGAGCTAAGTTCACAGTTTACAAACCGTAGAGACAAAGTATGGAAGCCATCATTGCCTGCACTCAGTCGGACAAGATAAGCCCCATTTTCTGTAAGGAGACGAAGAGCATCTTGATGAGATAAGACACCGTGAAACTCTCCTCCAAACTGCGATGGACGGCCTGGTACTGGGCCGTCGGCATGGACACATTTTGCTGACGGTGCCTCTAGCTGCAGCCGGTACACTGGAAAAGAAAAAATATTAATACCTAGTTAAAAAAATCAAATGTATAAGCTATGAGTACTGCATCTATACATACAATCTGACTTCCAGACTTTAATGGAAGCAGGAGATGTAGGGCTTGAATCTTCTGTAAATTAGAAAAATCCATTAAGATTAAGAGTGGTTATGTAGAGATTCAAATAATCCTTGAATACCTGTGTTGTACTGAAAATGCCAGTATAACAGGCCTAAATATTCAAGAAATTACAAACTAGGTTATTAGTGAAAGTGTCACTCATAATATGAAGAACTAACCTACGGGAACCATGTCAACTGAAAAACCAGAGAAACAAGACAGATCACTTTAAGAAGTACTATCATATTTCTATTTCGGATAAACACTGTTTTTCCGCATCTTCATCTTCGGAAATTAAATTCAACCGCTTGATCACTTGACGATTTGGAGATGTTTACTGTTTCTTTCTGCTTCTTCTTCTCCTCACTAAATTTTTCATCAAGTTAAGTTTCTCATACCGCACAGTTATGGAGCAAGAAGTCAAAATCCCGCACGCATCGCGGTCAGCTGCTAAGAGATAAATTTGGGGAATTTGGTTGAAAGGTTCTTTTTTACACGATTTTTCATTAAAATGGAGGACAGGTTAAGAAGATACGAAAAAATCGAATTTCTCGGGGAAGGACAGGTTGGTATTTTTGGCAGTTCTGGTTACGATAGTACCTATTATATCGTTCATAGGTAAACATAACCTGGTTCGACCGGTGCGTTTAAAATGCTCAATTAGATCTTGAATATTTTGAACAAAAAAAATTAATCAAGTTACTTCTCAAAGAAAAGTTTCTGCCAAATCCTTACCATCCTACTTACGTGAATAAAAAATAAGTTTTGTGACTGATGTCTCTTGCTGGATTGAACCTCAACAGGTTGTCATCTTTTTATTTTAATATGAGAACCCTATCAAAATCTTGTTTTGAACTGTAGTTTTTTCTGTATTCAGGGTGATCTCATTGTTATTCCTTATCTGAGACCTTACCTTTCTCTTTCAAGAAATGCTTAAATTCTGCTTGTTTACCTCATGGAGTACTCAAATAAACATCCGTTTCTTTTCAGTTCGCCACTGTCTACAAGGCAAGAGACACTCAAACAGAGAATATAGTAGCTGTGAAAAAGGTATGCATGTGTATGTTTTTGGATTCCTCCATAATTTTCATTCCTAAAATGGTTCATGTTAACCTTCCTCCAGATAAAAGTTGGAAGCAGAGCTGAGGCGAAGGATGGCATAAATCGTACTGCTCTACGAGAAATAAAATTGCTTCAAGAATTGCACCATCCCAATATCATAGGCCTGCTGGGTTTGTGATTTTTACCAACAAGGATTTTAGATCTTTATGTTTCATCTTTCATTCTCATCTTATTTAAAATTTTATCTGGCTTGGTTTCAGATGTTTTTGGTCACATGTCAAATGTTTCACTAGTTTTTGATTTTATGGATTTTGATATGGAAGTAGTAATAAAAGATACAAACATTGTACTGACCCCCGCCAACATAAAATCATATGTTTTGCAAACCTTGCAGGGTTTGGAATACTTACATAATAATTGGGTATTACATAGGGTAAGCTGCTTCTTTGTCATATTTACTTGCAGTCTGTAAAGCACTTGTGTTATACACATATTTCATCTCAATTTTCAGGATCTGAAACCTAATAACCTACTTGTTAATAGTGACGGTGTTCTTAAAATAGGTGATTTTGGCTTGGCTAAATTTTTTGGTTCACCCAACAGAGTTTATACTCATCAAGTTGTTACAAGATGGTACAGGTGAGTTGATAATTGTGCAGTCACAAACCTCATTGTATGTTATGACAACCTTTTTTTTTTTTTTTTTTCCCCAAGAAATTATATGAAAATTTCTGTTACTTTTTAGAGCTCCTGAACTTCTATATGGAGCCCGAATGTATGGGACTAGTGTTGACATGTGGGCTGTTGGTTGTATTCTTGCGGAACTACTTCTTCGTGTCCCATTTCTTCCCGGTGAAACTGATCTTGATCAATTGACCAGAATCTTCCAAGTTATGGGTACACCCACAGAAGAGACTTGGCCGGTATATTGACCTTTCTTTTGTCTTTGCATTGTGTTGTTTTGACATTTCTGCTGCCTTGCAAAGTCTAAATAATCATAATATTAATATTCTCCAGGGTTTAACATCACTTCAAGACTATATTCAATTCAAGCCCATGCCAAGTCAGCCACTGAGAAATATTTTCTCAGCTGCTGGGGATGATCTATTAGATCTTATAACCAGCCTGTTAATGGTAAATCCCTTGGCACGTTGCACATGTGAACAAGCTTTAAAGATGCCCTACTTTAGGTAAATATTTTCTTAATGATGCTGTAAGTAAATCTTTCTAACTATAGTTCTTTTTATTCAAGAGCACTTGATACAATTTTCAGCAACAAACCAGCACCAACCCCAGGACCACAATTGCCAGTTCCTACCTCATTGAATGGAAGGAAACAAGACGAAAGGCCAAGTCTGAAGAGGAAGCTGTTAGATGCTGTAGACGGCGGTATGAAAAGATTAAAATTATTTTGAGTGTTGTCACCCCCTGAACGTAGAAGCCTGAACTAACTTTTGCATTTTATCATTTTCTTCTTAGGTTCTTTGGCAAAAAAACTAATTTTTTAGTAGAAGTCTTCAAATTAGATGTGTCCCCAAGAAGTGTCATCTAGTCTCACCACTGGGGAAAGGATGAGAACTCAGCAATGAATTGAAAACAGTGGACTTAGAGCTGTGATTTTTTTTTCTTTTTGTTCAAGCAGATTAGACCTATCTGTTCCTGTACATTTAAGTGTTCATTAGTTTTTGTTGTTGTTGTTTTTTCCTGTACAAAATGTAAGCACAATCAAATGTCATTCATTTCAGTCACTACTTTACATTTTTTTAAAATTTACAAATGTAATAGAAGGTATATAACTTTGTGTGTGGGTAATCCACAAAATAAACTTAAAATAACATTAAAAAATACCTTAATGTATTTGAGCATTGAGAAGAGAATGCAAACCAATGGAATTATTTTCTAATAAATATTGTGCAAACACATTGACAAAGCAATTATTCTCCTAAACCATGGGGTATTGATAAACATGTTTGTTCAAAAGTTGTATGGGGAATTCTGCTCATTATCATCCCTAACAGCTCCAACAAATAAAATCAGCAAAAAATTTACGCATTAAGGTTGTATGATCGAGTCAAAAGTTGTAATTTGAAGTGGGAAAATGTATGAAAATCCACCAAAAGAGCTGAAGACAAAGCATCGTCAGATTTTCGAGCAATAGGGTCAGCTCGAAGTCTTCTCCAAGTAAAATCTCACAAGGAATCAAAATGTCAGCTCGGATTTGTGCTACCTACACTTGTAAGAAGCACGAAAAACAGCAAGTGATCCGTAAATATTTTTGAAAAGACTTATGGAGGACTTTGGGATGGGACTGAGCCATATATTCCACTAAAGCTCCTATCAAGATTTTCACAAACCTGTATCTCTGGAGAGTATGCTCCATCTTGCCTTCATTTAGATTTTTTTATATCATGAAATGACTAGATAAATTTTACAAGTTTGTTGAAGGCAGCCTGTTCATCAGTAGTTTGAGATTTTGGATCATTTATATCACCTCTCCTGCCATTACACCCAGGAGGAAAACTTTTCGTTTTTTATCACAGATTAAGATAGGTACATAACAAATGGTAGACCAATATACTATCAGTTTTGGAAATAATTCCAGCTATGATAGTAAAACTACAGTAGCCCTAAAATTGAAATGAAAAGAAATACAAAATCAGAATTCATCATTAGTTTTGCCTTCAAGCCCATGAACCGCTTTATAATATTTGGAGGCACGGACTGGTTCTCCATGAAAGCTTTTATGTGCTAATAGTGCTACATTTTTAGCTGCAATAACACTCATTTCCATAGCACTAGCAGCCCATTCAATGGCATTAAGATAAAAGAAATTACGATGTATACGGAAAAGATCTGATGTTGGAAGTCTAGCATAGTGGGGATATGCCAACCAGTCATTAACTTTAACTGAATTCTTATTGTAACTAAGAAACAGCAAATTGAGCTCTCCATCAGAAAGAGGAACAGGCGAAAACACCTTCCAAACATCAGATGTTTTGTCATGGGCATTTATGTCCACTGGGTGGATTTTGCTCACAGAATTGAAAAATAATCCTCCGGTTGTGCTCAAAATTTCATTGGGCATTGCATCAGCCTTTGAATACCCAAAGAAAGAATGATTCAATTTACCTTGAAGGACAGTACTGACAGTGTGGTGGTAAGGGCCAGCCCAACCCTTGTCTGGGTACTCTGATAAATCTATACTCGAGTCTGAGTTAGTTTGCAATGGTGAGGCAAGAACCACAATGTCATAGACCTGAAAAGATAAGGTTAGTACTAAAAACAGCATTTTTAAAGGTAAGATAAAGTAAGCACATGCACGTACCCTAGATAATTCACTTCTGTCACCATCAATAGATGTGCCCTGACGTCGAACAATAAGCTTGCCATTGCTTGCTGTAGATACCTTAACAACCCTATCCCGCACAAGCTGGGCCTCAGAAGCCTCTAAAAGTTTTTCTGCAACTCGAAAATTACCCCCATCGACTGACCATAAATTCCCAGTGGCTCCTGCTACAGAAACAGAGCCTGAAAAGATAAGTTTTATCTGATTAGAAAAAGACAATCATTGGTTCATCTAACAGTTTGAAAAGTTGATAGATAAGAGAACCATACCAACAAATTTATGAACCAGTAAATCTTGGCCATAGTTCACTCGTATTGTTGCAGCAACTATTTCATCAACCAAAAGCTCTGAAAACCCAAGTTTCTTGAAACCTGTTCCACTTTTGATTCGCCTATCACTTTCAAATTGAGGGTTCATGGCTTTCAGCATATCACCTACAGTCCAAAATGCCTCCCCTTTATTTTGAAGAGAGTAAATACTGCGGGGAGAAAATGATGATACCTCAGGAAATCTTACAAGACACACATTGAATTTGAAAATACATACCTTTCGAACTTTGTTAACATATCATCTATGTAGCTGTTCAATTTGAATATACCATATCCATAACGCCACAACATTTTCAAAACTGTAACGGGATGCCAGGAGCTTTCTTCAAAGACAAACTTTGAGCCATCCCAAAGTCCCATCAGAGATCCTTCGGCATTTTCCCGGGGCTTTAATCCTGAAACAAAAAGTGCCATAAAGCAACAATGAAACATTAACAATGTCACGGAAAGGATTTCATGGAATGATGCAAAAGTATACAACCAACCAAATGTTTTAACGAACGACACCATATATTTGTTACGAGGGTGAATTATGGAACCTCCAGTTTCATAGTTGCGTCCTGCAACATCCACTGTTGCAAGTCTTCCACCTATTTGACGTGCCTCATAGATATCTATATCAACTTTTCCAGCACCAAATAATTGTGTCAGGAAGTATGAAGTGGCAGTACCACCAATCCCTCCTCCAATAATAGCTGAAAACAAGTTAGAGAAGCAATTTATCAATTTTGCTAAGTGGTACTCGTTCTTTGCCTTCAGGTGACACAAATGTAATCTCAGTATTTCAGTCAATATAAGGCGTAAGCCATTTAACTGATGTCTTCTGAATAGTTCAAGGTTTTGGTAACAACATTACTTCAGAGAAAAATAATGCTTGTATAGTACAATCTATGGGCATTGAACTTGGGTTTAGAGATCGGGGGAGCAGGGCTGTATCCATTGGTCTACATCACGTTACATGGCTGGGGTGTGCTAACAATGCCCCTAGAGGAACGGGGCTTCCCTGAGACCTAGCGGCGAGAGGGCGCATGCGCCGGCACCGTTGTTGAGGTTAAAATCGTGGGACTTAGAACATTTTGGCTGGCAACAGCACAACATCTAGTAATCTCAAAAAATCATGTAATAAACGGGTAAAATTCATAAGAGGAGAATTTTAGGACTCATTGTTGGCTTTCTAATGAGTCACAACACTTGGTCCTAAATGTTTAACTTTGCAAAATATCCTATTCCATCATTCAGTCCAGAACTTGCACTTCGCTCCTATTGATTTTAAGGTAAAAAGTGCTTCATGGTAACAGAAAAAAGCTTCTAACATTAGTTTCTCACCAAAACCATACCTATTCAAAAAATATTACATTACAATTGTGTGTTAAGTATTTACTGAGTTAAACATGTGTCACCAAGTTGTGTCTTACCAAACACAATACTCGTCTTTACCTTTGTATGGATATAGAAAGTAGGTAAAGAACGAGTAATAAAACTTAACATTAATGACCAAATGTAAAAAATAAATATCAGCTTCTTTCTTTCAATAATAAAAACTCACCAACTTTAGGCACTGGTGAGGCCTCTGAGCACGTACAAAAATTACAGGACAATAATACTATCCCACTGACTAGCAATAAAAACTTCGGTAAAAACATTATTTTTGAATGTCATGCAATGAAGAGTAAATCAAATAAATAATAAGTTTATCTACTTCGCCAGAATCAGTTCACTTCCTACGGCAACTTCCAACATGTCTTCTGGTTTCTGTTGGACAACCAAAGATTTGACGGGAAAGGCAAGATAACAGTGCACGGAAATAAACAGAAACAGAGAACTTAACCTCAAAAAAAGAACAGTCGCGGAGGATTTATCTTCTAGAAGGCCATGCCATATTACAAGCTTGCCTTTGCCAAATTTGGTGACACGTCACAAAACATATTATACGCCCTTAGTATGAGACGAAATATTTCAGCAACTATTCTTGCGTATATCAAAATTGTACTCAACGGTTTTCATTAGTTGTTTGAAGTCTTTAAGAGAGGATAAGTTTTCATTCTCTGTGTGGGATAAATTGTGTTTGCACTGTTGGTACTGAACGCATGGTGCGCTTTTTGCGCTCTGCGCTGCCGCCGTGGAATGTGTTGTCTTTTGTGTTGATTCTTGAAACTATCTTCATTTCTGTAACGAATACTTGATTTTAAATCTTTTGCCAAAATGTCTACAATATTGGATAAAATTGCTGCCATCGAGGCCGAGGTGAGTGTTGATATGTTTTTGTCAAACCTCCAAGTGTTGAACCCTAACCATACCCCGGTCACATCCATTCCTACTTTAACTATATTTCTTGTGTAAAGAATTTATGTCTGTTAAATGTCATTCTATTTTTTTTAGTTTTGAACTTTTTTAATTTTTTGCAACTGAAGTATCTCTTGTCTGAACTTTTCCTGTCTTCTGTATGCTCACTTGCAACCTGCTCTTGCTATCAAAGCCATTCTGGTTTCATTCATCAGGAGAGTCCATACTCTTTGTGTCCTTACTGGCTTTCTATTTTTATTGCACTTTTGTTATTCCGTTATAATTTTGTACACTTAAAATTTTTTTTATATGCCATTTTCTGTTAAGGAAATGTATCAAATATTGTTATCTTATCATTATTTTCCTTATTTGTTCCTAAAAATAGATGGCAAGAACTCAGAAAAATAAAGCTACTGCTGGCCATCTTGGTCTTTTGAAAGCAAGGCTTGCCAAACTTCGGCGTGAACTTATTACTCCCAAAGGCGGCGGCGGAGGCCCTGGTGATGGATTTGATGTTGCCAAGACTGGTGATGCTCGCATAGGATTTGTTGGTAAGTTAATTACAATATGTGATTTGTTTGTGTAGTGAATTTTGTGTTAGTTTTCATTTTAATCTGCCTCTGATCTCTATTTGCCAGGTTTTCCATCAGTAGGAAAGTCTACTCTCTTGAGTACACTTGCTGGAGTGTACTCAGAAGTCGCAGCATATGAATTTACAACCCTGACTACTGTGCCAGGATGTATTAAATACAAGGGCGCTAAAATTCAGGTTTGGGAAACAAATTTCTGTTTGTAATTCCTGTTAAATATTCACCCTTTTCTTAACGACAAACATGTTATGCTTCCTCAGTTACTTGATCTACCTGGAATTATTGAAGGCGCCAAGGATGGAAAAGGTCGTGGTCGTCAAGTTATTGCTGTAGCACGGACCTGCAGCTTAATCTTCATTGTACTTGATGTACTGAAACCTTTAAAACACAAAAAACTCATTGAGCATGAGTTAGAAGGATTTGGACTGAGACTTAATAAGGATCCCCCAAATATAGTTTTCAGGAGAAAAGACAAGGGTGGAATCAACTTGCAAACAATGGTATGTGTCAATATGTACCTTCATGGCAACAGAAATTATTCCCTGGCTTGTTTAAATTTTAATCTTATTAATCTTATTTAAATTTACAGTGTACTCAATCTGAGCTGGACTTGGATACTGTAAGAACCATTTTGTCTGAGTACAAAATTCACAATGCTGATATCACTCTAAGGTATGATGCCACAAGTGATGATCTTATTGATGTTGTTGAGGGAAACAGAATTTATGTGCCTTGCATCTATTTACTCAACAAAATAGGTAAGAAAAAAAAAGTTGATTTTCTAGATAATATTCATTTAAAAAAAAAATATGTTTGCAGAATCCATTTACATGTTCTTACAATTCTCACAGATCAAATCAGCATTGAGGAATTGGATATCATCTATAAAATTCCTCACTGTGTGCCAATATCAGCCCATCATCGCTGGAACTTTGATGACCTCCTTGAAAAGATGTGGCTGTATCTTAAACTGGCTCGAATGTAAGCAGGATAGACTTTGGGACAGTGAAATACTGACATGAAAAGCATTGTTTGTAAAATACCAATTATATTTTGTTTCAGCTACACCAAGCCAAAAGGACAACTTCCTGACTATGAATCACCTGTGGTTCTTCATTCTGAGAAGTTGAGTGTTGAAGATTTTTGCAACAAACTTCATCGAACCATAGCAAAAGAGTTCAAATAGTAAGCTTTGATTGATAGAATGTAGCTTCATGACCTCTTTTCTTGAATTAATATTTGTCAATCAATTTATTTTACAGCGCACTTGTGTGGGGATCATCTGTGAAACACCAGCCTCAAAAAGTAGGAAAAGAGCATGTGCTTGCTGATGAGGATGTTGTCCAGATTGTCAAGAAGGTGTAACCAAAATGTTTGTATGTTTGTGAGTGGAATGTTGATAATTATTTTTAATAAGCTTTGGGATTTATAAATTTGGTAAATCTAATAAGATCAATTAATTCTTTGCAATTACTGGAGATGGTTTACATGATTTGCATTGCAGAAAAATACACAAATGAAATGAAAGTATGAAATTAATTTTATTTCTTAACATTAATACACACACATTAATCAAAGACTATGACAACACACAACAATCATGGGGTTAAAAATTTAGTCCCAAGGATCAATTTCAATGAATGATGATGTAACACATTTTCTCTTTTTGCCAGCTCTATTGCTGGCAAGCCACCTTCACCCAATGTGCTCCTCAAACCAGAGGAGTGAGTTAATGATGCTGTCCATTTCAACAGGCACATTCCCAAGACCATGAACATCTTCATAAACATGGACCCTGAATACAGTACAAAAGTAATTAGTTCAGCAAAAAATTCACCTTCCCGAGAAGACAGCAGAGCCAACTTACTTGGTTGTGACCCCATTGGCATGCAAAGTGTGATAATACAATAGGCCTTGGCTGTAAGGCACTCTCAAATCTTTTTTGCCGAGCATAAGCAGAGTTGGTGCTTTCACGTTGGATGCATATTGGATTGGTGAGCAGCGTCTCATTGCATCCAGTTCATCCTTTGTCACCACAGATGCGGGGTTGTATACAAGACCAGCCTCTGTGTAGCACCTAAAGAGGACAAAGTTACAACAAATTTATCGCATTCAACAAAGTGTTCAAGTTTGAATCCAAATTATTTCCAAAAAGACAAGATAATACAAACCAATCTGGAATATCTGAGATGCCAGACATGCATGCAATGTCTACAACAGGGTTTCTAGCAACAACAGCACAGTAGTTATCAGGGTACTGCCCACTGAGATGAGTAACAAGGAAACCACCATGAGATCCTCCAAAGAGAACACATTTCTTGGGATTGAGACAAGGGAATTGTTCCAGTGCAGCTTGTGCTGCTTGATGAACATCTTTCACATCTGCATCACCTACACGCTTTGGCAAGAAGTTTACACTGTCGTCACCACTTCCAATTGATCCACGGTAATTTACCATAAGCACTCCATATCCTTGAAGGAAATACAAATAAATATAATGTCTGGGACAGCAAGCTAGAATTAAAACTACAGGGAAACACGCTGACACGCTCACCAATTGTAACCATGAGACGAACACCTAAACTGTACTCATCAGTGAAACATGAGTGAGGTCCTCCATGTGGAAAGACTATGAGCGGAACTGAACCATTTGGTTTACCCTGAGGACCTATGTAGATGGCATTGAAGTCCCCTATAAAAATAAAATATAAACAAAGTTAAAGGCTTATCTTCATAAAACTGAAACTTCGCACAAGAAGGGACAGGATAATGATGACAAAGAAAGAAACTTACGAACAGAATCTGAAGTGTTTTTTGCAACCAGTGGCATGTATTGTACATGACACTTCTGCAGATCAGTGGGCGGCATCCACGTTGTAACCTGCATCCATTTGACAGTGTGCTCTTGTCCTGAAGGTGGCAAATCAGCTAAGACTAAACCAGCAGGTTCGCGAAGAGAACCGCGTGACATTACAACAGTATTTTGTAGAACATCCAAAATTGTACCCGACCCTTCAGTAGCTCCTTCAAAAGGCCAAACCAGTTCAGTGACATCTCCATTTCCTAAATTAAGAAAGAAAGAAAAATTAATTTTTTTGGCGAAAGATATACTAGGGTTCTTTACAACAAACATCCTTACTTATGTCAACAACATAACTTGCTACTCGACATAGTTGAGGTGTACTGAAGAGCACTCTCTGAGAATCCATGGACCAACAACGTTTGGGCAGTCGAGATGCATATATTCCATAGAATGGTCTCCCATTAGCAATACTGGTTTGGCTATTGACCAAGCCTATGATAGGCAGTACCTGCACCAACAAATAGAATCAATGCCTTAGTTCCTAGACAAACAAAACCCCTCCTCTTCACTGCAGACTTCACATACCTTTTTAGTCTTCCATGAGCAACACATAAGTTGCTGGCCAGCATGGTGTGGACCTCCAGCTTTTCTCTGAAGCCAAATCAAGTACTCACCGTTGGGACTGAACCTTGGTGAACGGACAGCCTCACCAGCAGTTGACAAAATACCTGAACCATCAAAATACAAGTGACTGAACTTTTTTAAAAAATAAACTGTTTGGGACTAAAATATTTTTTTTTTAAATATAAAGACAGACTTTGACTTCAGACAAAAGTATTACTTACTGAACTCTCCCTTGTCAAGTGACAAGTGAAAAATAATAGACTCCCGATTGGTACAGTATACAAGACCAAGACGTCTCGGTTCATTTTTAAATGCAACTCCTACAATGCCATTGCCGTCGGGTGTCCACAGTACTTGAGCAGGTGAGTATGATGATGGGATTTTGTCCAGTCGGGTCAACAGCCCCGTTTTCAAATCACATATGACAACAACAGATTGATGTTTGCCAACTAGAAGTTCGCCCCACTCTGCTCTGTAGGTGTATTCTTCACCCTAAATTTTTGTTTACAAATGTAGTACCATGTACCATAAAAATTATTGAAAATAGCAGAAGGAAAAGAATGTAAATGATTACCTTCTGAGGAGCTTTCTCAAGTTCGTTCTCTTTACTCTCTTTAGAATCCTGAGGTTTCGGCTTATAAAATGGTTCAGACTTGGGGACTTTGCATTCTGCTACGTAAAGGATCTTTGTTTCACAGGGAGACCATTCCAACGCACTGAAGTCATCTTGGAGGTAAGAAAGAAAAATTATTAAAATAAAAAATTGTTTTGTGAGATGCATAGGAAATAACTTGGCTTACCATCAGTGTAAACATCACCATGCACATCTAATGCACCAAGGTCATAATTCTGATAGAGCTGATGATGTTTCCATATTTCCAGGTATTGCTTGTTAGCTCCATTTGAACCATTTGAAGGAACCTCACGTAGGATTGCACGATGCTCATCAGAATTAGAAATTCGAGATAAGGACCTGATAAAAGTAGTTTCAGAGATAGATTTACGACTGTATCAGACACTTTGTGAAGCAAAAACTTTGGCTATATCAAGTTAAGGAAATTCACAATTCACAGATAGGGCCAAGGGTGAGGCTTGGAACTGCAAATTGTTAACTGTGGAGGACTCCCCGCCTCACCCCTGGCCCTATCGGTAAATTGTGAAGTGTGAATTTCCATAAATTGATATAGCCTAAAAATAGAGGTGGAACATCTTACTCAGTAGAAACGTCAACTGGTAGCATGTCAGTGGCTTTGGATGTAGAAGGGTCAATAATGTGAGTCTGCTGGAACTTCACCATCTTTCCCCGTTCCAAATTTCGCTGTGACCATTTTGATAGAAGGGTTATACTTTTCCCTGGGGCTGCTCCAGACTTTAAAATCCAAGCAGAGGCAGGAGCAGGCTGTTGAGCTGCTGCCTTGAAAATTTTCACGATAGTATCAGCCTGTAATAAAATAGAGGTAGAAATATTTTAAAAAGAGACAAAATCTTAAGGGTCGAGCCCAACTGGGACTGATCTAATATTGAGAAAAACTTGCTGAAGCTTTATTATGACAGCGTCAAACAATAAAGTAATGATATTTGAAAAAATTGTAATATAAATAGATGAAACAACAGTAGATAATCAAAACAACGGATTCAGAAATAATGCGTTCATTGTTTCACACTCGCTAGAAAGACAGTCGTTATTGTCTTGTTTCATAAACATCTATACTTCTACTGCCATTGTGGAGCATAGAAGAACGATGGAACGGCGATTTCTATGCGACGTCGCGAGCACAAAAGGCGAGACAAAGGCTCAAATCATAAGCTCCCCACCAAAGCAGCTACACGTCGCTGTTTGAGTAGCTTATCTACCTTCATGGCACTGAGATAAGACGATGTCTGGCACCTCGCAGGGTTCCTCAGAGCCACTCCTTAACAAATTGAGTCAATTTTTCTCTCAGGTGAACGGGAAATCCTTCTATTTACGATTTAGACACTCATGCTAAATCAAAACAGCAGGTTACCGGCGTAGCTTTGGTCTGTAAAGTTAAGAGCGCGCGCCGGCGCGCGTCCGAGCGCCTGAGCGCCCGCGGAATGTAAATGTCACCAAGAAGTATTAATATATATATTTTTGAAAAGGGGACGGTCCAGGGAATCCAACTATTGATGTATTTTTCGGTTTCGGGCCTTCACATATGAATATCCAACTCCTTTCTCAGGTAACCTGCTTGACCATACATGTCGTTTTCTCGTATGTAAAGGCTCGAAACAAAAAAAAATGTCAATAGTTGGATTCTCTGGGCCGTTCCCTTTCCAAAAATATGTATATTAATACACTTTGGGGATATTTACGTTCCGCGGGCGCTCGGGCGCTCAGGCGCTCGGGCGCGCGCCCTTAACTTTACAGACCACTTCCGGCAGCTGGCAAATCTCCAGTCAGTTGTCGGTTGTCCAGGATGCAATTTTGCCAACACATGAACGTCATTTCTTGTTGGAGAAACACTTCCGCTCGTAAAAATATTCAAAACTTCGGTATTTTCATCGTCAAAATTATCTTGGAACCGTTTAAATGTGAGCCTAGAAAGATTCAATAGTGTGGAGGACCCACAACTGTTGAAAAGAGTCGAGGCACCATATAGTGCCATATGTTGCCAGCAATGCGTTTCCGCAGGAAGCTCTGGGTCCGCGGCAATTTCAGGCATTTCAGGTCAGTGTGGTCGTGTGGTGCAGCGGGTTCCACATAAGTGGTTGAGCCAGGCCAAAAGGTTCATAGTTTGTTTATTTAGCAGATGATACCTTTACTGAAAAACATACCTAAAACTACAACTACAAGACACATAAAGGTGTCAGCTAGCTTTTACTCGAGAGTCCCAAAACCAAGTGCTCATGGCGTATCCTAACAAGGGGCTGGCTGCCGGGGCGGGCTGGTGCGTCTGTCTGTGGCTGGTTGCTTTTGCCACTCAAATTTAAGAAATTGCCTGTAGTATTTAAAAGTTTATTCATAACAAAAGACGTATAAAACAAATACACATGACCACAAACACGAAAAAGGCGCGCGACAAGACGGTGGCGGGCAGGGTGAAAGTCAAGATAACATCATTGCATTTTGTGCTGATTCAGCACGAGTCTGTGTTCCCGGAGACCCGGGTTGGCGTCATCTTGACCCGACCCTTCGTGATTTTCCATCTTTCTTCCTAGTCATGACGATGAGAGTGGTGGCTGTGGCGGTGGTGGTGTCGGTGATGATGATGTTGATGATGATGTTAATGTTGACGATGATGATGGTGATAATGATGATAATAATAATAGTGATGATGATGATGGGCCACTAGATAGGAGGTCAGGCGGTGCGCGCTTGTCGCTTTGAGATTTTGACGTGGACGCCGCCGCGGATCCTGGTCACGATCCCCTTGGTTTCGAACGGCATCGGGTAAACCGAGTCCGGGCCCGGCGTCACCTGGTAGGACCTCATGATGACGGTGAGTGCCGACTTCATCTGCATCATGGCGAAGCGGAGGCCTGCCGAAGAAAAACAAGCGGTTAGAGGATGCTGGAGATCGCGGTCCCCTCCGCCAAAATCTCAACTCACCTATGCATATCCTGGGCCCCTCGCCGAAGGGGATGTAGGCGAAGTGCGGGCGGCTCCTCTTGTTCTCCTCCGTGAAGCGCTCCGGGTCGAAGCGGTCCGGGTCTGGGTAGAACTCCGGGTCACGGTGGATGGCGTAGACCGGCACCAACACGCGCGTGCCCGCCTCCAGGACGGACTTGCTGTCGGGGAGCTGGTAGTCGCGAGTCACCACCCGGGGCAGCAGGGCCAGCGCGGGGTACAGGCGCATCGTCTCTGTGGACGGACAAGCAAGCCATCAGCATGGCAGTGTCAAGCTCGACAGCACCCAGTGGGTAGGCAACCCATTCGCCGCGCTGTCGTAACGCGCGTGGCTGCGCGTGGCTGCGCGTGGCGCGGACAGCGCACAAGGACGGACCGCCATGAGACATGATGAGACGACACGCGAGTCGAGAGAACCAGTAAACACACGAATTTCAAGCAGCGACAACAATCATGCCCGTCATGCCCGTCCTGACCGGTTGTTGTTGCCGAGCAGGCTAGCCATCAGGCCGGACCTCCACAACCAAGTCGCCTTCCTCCGCCGAGGATCGCGCAGGGGCGGCTCTAGAATTGTTTTTTCGGAGATGGACATGTCACTTGTTGCCAACCGTAAGGCGGGGTCGGTGGAGTGCCAGGCTTGTTGCCTGCTTTTAAGGCGGTATCAGCACCTGATTCCGAGTCGTTTTCGTCGCTCCGTCTCTCTCGCACGAGACGCCCCATGAGTGCGAGAGAGACACAGTGAGGGAGGCAAGTCTCGGACCAGGCGTGTGCCAAGGGGGATGGTCACGTAGCTAACGTGCATGACTCCATGTGGGGCTAAGGCAACCCCCAATATACAATCCGTCTGCTCTAGAAACTCAAAAGAGTGCACGGCATGCTCCGCGATGCTCCGCAATGCTCCGCCAGGGAGTCAACCACAAAGCACGCCTCATCCTTGAGCGTGTCTGCAAGCACGCTCAGCCTGGAGCGCATGAAGCCTTGGGACGCTGCACGCTCCATCGGAGAGTGCTTGTCAGGAATGGTCCAGGTGGCCTGCTAGCACCGAGGCAAGCTCTCTCCGGGATGAACGGTGCTTTGTGGTTCACCCAGGTGGGGCATGCCATGCACTCTCTTGAGTTCCTAGAGTGAAGGCAGGTACCTCGGGCGGGTAACGTGTAGGACAATCCCCCTGAGGCAGGCAGAAGGTGCGGCATGTCCCTTCCCTCCCTTCCCAAGGCAAACCCTGAGTTCGCCTGGATCTGACCGCCACTTGCTACTCGCTCCGCAGAGAGGGCATTGACTCACCTTCGAGGACCTGCTCCATGTAGGTCATCTCCTGCAGCGCCTCGTAGGAGATGACGCCGGCGTGCTTGGCCAGCACGCGGTCCACCTCCTCGCGCAGCCGGTCCTGCACGTCCGGGTGGTGGGCCAGCTCCATGAGGCAGGCGCTGGTCGCGCCGGACGACGTCTCGAAGCCCGCGATGAAGAAGATGAAGGCCTGGGCTGGCATGATGGCCGGGTCGATTGCTGGAGAACACCGTACCGTACACGTATACGTACAGTGTCTTGGAAAAGACGAAGACAGCTGCGGCGGAGGACCCTGGCGCGGATCCAGAGGCGCGTGTGTCCGTGTGAGCGTGTGTGTGTGTGTGTGTGGTGTGTGTGTGTGTGTGTGTGTGTGTGTGTGTGTGTGTGTGTGTGTGTGTGTGTGTTGATGGGGGCGTTGCTCTCTGAATTCGCAGAGTACGCAATGAATCGCACTCTGTCCCTGTAAGTAGGTAACTTTTGGTACTGCCCCTTCCCACCCCTTGAACCCCTCTCTGGATCCGCCCTGGCCACCTCGCGCGTTTGTGCTCACCGTCTCCCTTCTTGAGCTGGATCAACAGGTCGACGAAGTCGTGGCGCTGGTCCCCGCTCTGCTCCCTGTAGCGCACGTTCTCGTTGAAGGTGCTGGTGAAGAAGGTGGACACGTTCCTGCTGAGCAGCGGCACCGGCAGCAGGCGGCGGAGCGGCGGCATCGTCTCGCCCAGCACCTGCGCGCGCACCTCAATGTCATGGAGATCGTAATGACACGTAATGACTGCTGCCTCTGTCTCCCTCGCACCACGGCGCACAGTGGCAGTGGGCGAGAAGACTGGCGCTTGGCGGCCAAAAACTCTAGGCGCGTTTTGAGCTCCAGAGTCGCGGAATAAGACTCGAACCAAAATTGTGACCCCACCAATGGATTCCTCGTCCAGAGGTAAATCCATTGGTGGGGTCGCTGGTTCGGTTTGATCGACTCTGGAGCTCAAATCCGTCCGGGACTTTGACCGCCTCCAAAGAAGCCACTGCGCGGCGCACGCCGTGGCGCACGCCACGAGAGCGAGAGAGACGGACCACGCTGCTGGTACACTGGTACCCACAAAGAGGATGGCGCGCCAACGCGGGATGGTGAACAGTTCGCGGCCCATGTTGCGGAACTGGGCGTCCGGGTCCTTGAGGGAGTTGGCTTCGACGCCGAAGGCGCAGGAGCCGATCACGTCCGTGGTGAACTTGGCCATCACTTCGGCCATCTCCAGCTCGCCGCCCGCCGCCGTCTCGGCCGCCAGGAACGAGTCCAGCTGGTCGGCGCACGCGCGCACCAGGTAGAACATGTTCTTCATCTTGCCGGTCGTGAAGGTGGGCGTCAGCTTGGCTCGCAGCGACTTCCACTCTGGGCCCTGCAGACGCGCGCCAAGGATACGCCAGTCAAAAAAATGTTTCAGTTCACACAACTCCAACACTAATTTTTTTTAATTTTTTTTCGAAAAAGTCATAGCCAGGGATAAAATTTGGGGCATTCTTCATCACCCTATGGGTGACTCCTTTTATATCCCAAATTTGAGTGAGAATCATTTTATAGCGTATAAATTTGGGTGAGACTCATTTTATAGCCCAGATTTGAGTGAGAATCATTATATAGTCCAAATTTCGGTAAGATTCATTGTATAGCCCAAATTTGGGCGATGAAATAAACCCCACTCAAATGGTGATAAAATATGATAAGACTTGTCATCGCCCAGCTTACCCCCAGGTTGAAAAGATGAGCCGAGAGGGGCTCTCGGTGTCGGTCGAAGAACAAGCCGCGGTCCGTGAGGTACTGGAAGTCCTTGACCATCATGGTCTTGAGCAGGTCCACGTCGCACACGATGAAGGCGGGCCGGCGGCCCAGGAACACGCCCAGGTACTTGTGGCCGTTGGACTTGGCGTAGTGGTAGAAGCGCTGGCCCACCTTGCCACGGAACTCGGTGGACAGAAGGAAGGCCAGGGAGTTGCCGATGAAGGGCGTGGGCTTCAGGAAAGGCACGCCGCGCTTGGCCCAGTAGTCGGCCGTGTTCGTCATGTAGTAGTAGACGGCGGCGAAGATCGCCACGAGCGCGGCGAGCACCTCGAGCACGCCGACGGCCATCGTGGAGCTGGTGGCGGTGACGGGGGAAGGCCGCGGTCGCGTGGCGCAGAGAGCAGCGCAGCACCGCCGCCTTTGTGTGAAGAGTGCAGTGGAGCTCAGTGCAGACTGAAGCGATAGCTCTGCGCGCGGCTTGGCCAGTCTCCTCTTTTTCTAGACTCCGCTCCGCAGTAGACTGATTCCGAGCTCCGCTGTCGTCGCTCTGTCTCTCTCGCACTCGGGGCGTCCCGCAAGGGCGCGAGAGAGACAGAGTGACGAGCAGTGCTCGCGTGCTCCGCGGCCCCCCTCCGCGGCCCCCTCCGCCCCGCCGCAACGCAACGTCCAGGACGATTAACGGAAGCCGAAGTCCACGCGGAGTGGCCTGACAGCGCCTGACAGTCCTCCACGTCCTGACTCAGCTTCGCTCAGCCTCCGCGGACTCTGGCCGGGACTCGTTTGTTTTGTCCAGGCTGGCCGGTGGCCGTAATGTCATGATTCCAGCTAATTTCGGTGTTGTGACTCCGGCGGCGCCAGTCCCTCCGTGATTTGGCCTTTTTCATTTGGTCAGTCACGCCCATAGGCAAATAAGACAAAACTGAAGCACAAGTTGATTGTAACGTTCGAGAGCGTAGTATAGACTCTCAGAAACTCGGACCGCGGGTAGTCGGGTCACCTAGCTAAGAACCGGGTTTGCGGGTAGAACCGGGTACGGTTTCGCGGGTAAATCCGGAGTGGACCGAGGGAAAAAGGTGGAAAGGCCCGCGGTTTCACCCGTTTTACCAAGAGACTTGGATCCACAGTCCCCGACAGTCGACAACACAGTGCGCTCGCGCGGGCTGTGCTGCCTGCCTTTTGGGCGGTCTCCGGCGGTCTCCGCGTAAACCCGGTTCTACCCGCGGCCCCCCAGTTTCGTACCCGGGCACAAGGACAGAGCTCCGGAGGATCATTCCTGGTTCAGCCTACCAGGGCCAAAGCCCGACGTTTTGAGGCTGCTGCAAGCTGCTGCAGGGCTGCAAGGCGTCCCCCAGCCCCGCAGTGGGGTGGCGGGCCGTGGCGCCGTGGCCGTTGTTTGTTGTGTTTTCGTTGTTCCTGGGGAACCACTTTCTCGCTTAAGTAGACGCCTTACAAATCCTGTACGCGCACTTCTAGAGTGATATTGGTTCTTCGGGGAAATCTCGTATCGAAGAGTCGGTACCCACCGGGACGAGTCATTTGACGAGTTTGCTACTTGTTTTAATGGGCTCGTCCGCGTTCGAACACGGCGATTCGGGCCGAACAAGCCGAAAAATGTGTAAACAAGTTATAAAAATGTGGATATCCCCTTTTGTAAGTGTCGATTCGGCCCCAGCAGGATCTCATTTCCGTGGTGCGCGCATACTCTGAACAGAAAACGAAGAGCCCTGGGTTCTCGCGGCCTAGGGCTACCTGCAATGCTATGCAAGGCGGCAGATGCCATAAACCGCGAGACAGTGCTCTTCGTTTTCTGGTCAGAGTTATAGGTTTTGACGATTCGACGCGTCTACTTTGGCTGAAAAGTGGTTTCCCAGGCCCCGTCCACACCCCCATTGTGAGCCACGAAGTGGCGTGATGTTGGGCTGGCACCTGCCTGGCCTAAGCTTGGCCTGGGTGAATTCGCGCGTCGCCGAAGGGAAGTCCCCTAATTTCCCAGCTGAACTTTGCCACATGAGGCGTTCCGCTGTTTGCCGACTTAAAGGTCGCGCTTGAGCAAAAAGATTATAGTAGTACCGCGCATGCAGTTGCATAGATGGGAGGCTGTATATCGAGATAAAGACGAAACGAATTCACAGTCTACCGAGGGGGTGCATACACCCCTTGCCAACCGAGCGGTTCCGGTGACGCGCTTCTTTTTTCGGTGTCTCACTCGCACCTCTCTGAGATGCCCCGTGAGTGTGGTGAAGATTCGTCAGAATCAGTCTATCAACTGTTCAGCTGATGCAACCTGCGTCTGCCTTGACTTGAATTAGCCTTGACCACAAGTCGGGCAGTGGAGGAGCTTTCTTCCGGCCCTTTGACCTTATTTGAAGCTCTTTCCACATTTCTCGGTACTTTCGGCACCCAGCCTCTGCACACAATGCGATGCTATAATCATCTCGGTAAACACTCTCCTCTCCTCCACCAGGATTGGATTACACACCGCCGCCACGCCGACTCCGAGGCTTATCTGTTTGCATTTGTCTTCCCAGCAGAGACCCACCTCTTGATTTTGGAAGCCACCATCAGGCGCGGATTCAGGGGGGTCGCCCCCTCCCCCCCCTCTCGGTAGGCAAAAGATCGCACACTGTCCAGGCAACCGTAGCGACATCGCCGCCCGCCTTAACGGATCCGCGCCTGGCCACCATGGTAAGTCTTGCGACCAATGAAACTCGATATAACTCTCTCCCTGTCTTGATTTTGGAATCACGTCGCCTCATACATCGAAACCGTAAGCAGTGGCTGCTCCTGGGAGGAGAAAGGCCTTAGAAGGTATGGGGAGGGCTATGGGGACACCCCCTTCCCCAGTCTGGTTGAAGGTGGGAACAAAGCATGACACCGCCTCAAAGCAAAAGGTGATGCTCCACTCCAAAAACAGTCTTAAAGCCGCCCCTGACAGTAAAGCGTAGGGGAGATTGGCCAAAATTTTACCGAATCGGCCAGTATTCTGCGGCAAACTAATGGGGTGAGTAGGTGGGCGCAAGTGCCGCGCTGTGGAGAAGGACTATGATCTAGTCCTTCTCCATGGCCCCGCGCCCCGCCGCGGACACTGCTCTTGGAGGCTTGGAGTGTGCACCTGCACCACAAACCATCGCTTTGGGCGGACAAATGGACCCTGGACCTAACTTGGACAGCCACAGTCGCGACAAATCGGCTTCTAGATTGATTAGTTGCAGACCGACTACTTTTTATGAGCAGAGTGGACTGTTCTTGCTCCGCCTTTTAGGTAATTGAGCGAAGTTGACAATCAATTTGAGAGAGCAGGAAATGCACACCGCTGGAGTTTCCTGTCTGTCTGCCCTTGTGGAGCAGCGGTTAGTTTTCCTCGTACCTTAGTGCTGGATGCTCGATCGAGGGCAGATAATTGATCTCCGCTTGTCGAGTCTATAATTGGATTCTACGACCGTCGAATGCGTGCAGGCGGTGCGAATCCCGCCACTGACAACAAAGGACACGGTGGCACCACGATAGCGCGAAGTCCTCGGTCGGCGCGATAAGAAGCCGTGAATCACGTACACTGCCTCACGCAGCGCGATGCGCGCGATGGCATGACACGTCGAGAACAGGTTCAATGGACAAAGTACTAGGCAAGCTGTTCACGGTCTTTTATATATTGACTGGAAAACATGACCACAGTGTTTGGCAAGGTGCACGCACATGTGAAAATGATAAGAAGCAAGCCAGTTACATAACAAAATTTAAGCAACCATGACAAAGGTAACGTGGAAATAAGTATGGAGTTAACATCAGAACCGGTTCACTGAAGAAAACTGATTTAGTGTTACTGCTTAATTTAAGCATGGTAACCTAAAAATGTAAGTTGTGTTACAAACAAAGTGAAACACTAATCTTTTACAAAAAAAAATATGTTTAACAAAAACAGAAAGCCACACAAAAGTAGATACAAGTGGAATAACACAAATTCATCATAAAAGTTCCATCTGCGCAAGAATTTTGTGAAACAAAACAGTCAGTGTCTCATTTTATGTGCATTCCAGAAAATTTTCAAATGAGTAACCATACAACTCAAGATTTTTTTCAGAAAGCTTAGTAAAAGTTTATATTAATTTGATGGATTTACAAATTGATAGAAAAAAAGATAGAAAACAAAGGCACAGAGCAAAAAATTCAATGTGTGCAAAAATTCTCAGAACAAAATAATAAAGATGCCAATAGTAGAGTGTTTGGCCCAACTGTCCCCAGCAATAACAAAACTAAACATGAGAATGAACTGTTACAGAAGAAAACAATTACAGGTGATAAAGAAAAAAAAACTCTGGAGGGGCATACAAAAAAAAGTTACACTCATATAAAAAAAAAGAAAGTAGTAAGAAAATGAATACCATAGTCACCACTATTATAGTGCACAGGTAAGCATAGTGAGGGTATTGTTAACAATTTGGTGCCAGAAGCTGAATGGATACTTTCAAGAAAGGAGGCCCACAAATAACCTAAAAATACAATTTTGCCATGAATATGCTCAAGGGGGACAGAGAAACCCGCTTGAACAAGCACAATAGGACTACAGACAAGACACAAATATACAAACTGAAGAATCAAAATCAAAACAATAAAATAACAGAGTACCATAAATTCAAAAAGTCTGATGAAATATTTGTACTATTAATTTAATAAAGTAAGTGTCTAGCATTGAGATGGAACAAACTAAACTAATTAGTTTCAAGATTACTTTTCCACCAGTGAGGAAGATATCTATGCCTGGAAATTAGGCACTGTATCCTATAACAACCCACGATTTCAAATATTGGTATTTGTATTTCTGAGCTTCCATCTACAATGACAGCATTTGTACATCGAATAGGTCACACACACCTTCTCCCTCTCCCAAATTAAACAAGTAATCTTTTTCACAAGGTGGTGGGCTTAGTCTTAGGAGTGGTCCGTAAACTGGAAGAGATAAACAAAATAAATTAAAAACAAGAACCAAAATAAATAAGAAAACAAAATACTAATGATTAATCATGTTTGGAGAGAGGGGCATTTTACTTACTGTCAAAGGTATCCTCTGAAAGTCCATTTTCGGCTCCAAATAATAAATCTGTAATTTAGTAAGGTGAACATTAAGAAATTGCAATCATGCAGGGGTGCATTCCGTTTACAGCTTTATTGGAATGAAAGCAGGCACCACTTACCTCTTGAACCAAGATCTCTCAAAATAACTTCTGCATCAAGCTCTGTCACTTCACTATCTGAGTCAACATCAGGGTCAACAGGGTTGTCACTTTCAGGCTCAGTAGTTTCATTTTCTTCCCTCTCCTTACAATCAGATTCATCATCTAAACGTGGCTGCTTTGCAGGTCTACTCATACTAGAGCGACCTCTCTTAGACAAACCTACAATAGATTTTACAGTACCTATCTTTAAAGAAACAACTAGAAAAGAGCAATGTATTTCTATAGGAGTGATTTACTTACCACCACGAACAGGACTTTGCATAGCTTCAGCCATCTTTTTGGTAGGGGACCCCTTGATACCAGATTTTGACCTAGTTGCTGGTGGCTCTACAAGTGCTGCAAGCTTTCTCTTCAAATCAGGACTACTGCTAGGACTTCTTGTCGGAGATTTTTTGAAATCCGATTCTGATGTATTCTAAATGACATACAAGGTATAAGTTAACACATAAAACCAGAATATCCATACAGAGGGTAACAAGAAGCTATGCATAACATATTAGTACCTTTTTGGATTCTTTAGTTTGAAGTTCTTTCTTTTCTAATTTTACTGACACCTGAGTAGAGTCTTCTTTGGCTGAATTTTTCAGTTCTTTAAGAGGTAATGCTGCTGAACCAATGACGTGTTCATCAGAATCCACCAGCATGACGTAGATTGGAGTAGATGTTGATTTTATATGAATTTGATACTTAGGCTTTGGAGCATTCTGGAAGAAAAATATTCATGTTCTTAAATGAAATTCTCATTTTTTTAGGTATGTTGTGGTTTTCTTTTTCACATTGAATTATTAGAACACACCAGATCAACAACAGGAACCTGCAGAGGAGTTCCATTAGGCGCCTGGACAGCTAAGATAGTTTCATCGTCAAAACAGCCTCTGATATCTTGGTAAGTAAGATATGCCAGCCTATTATTATCTCCATCTTCCAGAATATTTAATATGCTTTGCTGTATCCACTGCACAAAATAAAAAATGAAATAAAATGATGAAAACATGGAGTTGAGATTAGGAAAATGCAACACACTAGACACTTCATGTTTAAAAAACAACAAAAAACAACAACATATTTTACCTGTTTATGAGTATCTAACATTTTTTCATGCTCCTCTAATCGGGTGATTTCACCTTTTAGAGTTGACAGACGGTCAGACATTTCTTGAGTGTTGCATCCTGGACCTGCCCCCCTGAAAATCATACGAGAATTTGATTAGTTTAAAACTTTATTTTTCGAAGATAATTAAAGAAACCAATTATCTATGCAAACGGTGCAGATTGTGAAGATAGCGTAAATACTTGATGTACCATACATAGCTTGGTACTTTTACTTACTTCCATTGTATGCTGTTTTTGCTGCGCTTTTCTATGAGGCCTATACCTTCTAACACATTAGTAATATCATATATTCTCCTCTTCTGGCGCACTGCAAGTATGTCGGCAGCCTGGAAAAATAAAAACAGTGATAAGTCGATACCATTCATTACATTAATTTCGCTTAGTTAGATATACACAAGAACAAAACATTAATGAACAAATGCCTCTAGACAAAACTACACAGATACATCAGCCTCGATATTCAGAGAACACTTATAAATAAATGGGAAAAGCAATAGGTAAATAAAAGTGAGGCCAAATAACCTCACAAGCTACATAACAGACAAATTTCACTCACCAACTTGAGATCTAAAACACCATCTTTAGCCTTCTGAAGCAGGGTTACAAATTTTGTAGTCAATAACCCCAAGGATTTTTCAAATCTACTCTGTTGGTTGTCAGCCATTTCAAGGCTTTAACGTAGAACTATAAAATCCGTTGATAAGATAGTTCTTCGTTGCACTTCATCGACATTCGAAATTTCAAACAACGCTTAGTGCGTTCCTTATCAGTGCGGCTCACTTCGCTCTGTGGTCTCTTGTGGTCAGAAGGGATAAGAGAATAGCAAGATTACGACGATGGAATACCGGGCGATTTGGCCTCAAAAATACCGGAAAATAAATATTAAAAAACTTTGACTAAAAGCAGGTCAAATTTTACAAGCATTACGATTCTTTTCAATTGCATCATTTTATCAGCGATGACGCACTTGGGGACTGTCCGTAAACTGTTGAAGACATTTTTTTTTCTTCAAAGTTCAATCCAGCTCTTGAAACCGATCGACAATAAATGCAATTTTCCTATCTAGATGCAAGAGCGTGTCGCTTAGATATCCTTCCATCGTGCATTTTCAACATTTTCGACACTTACGCCCTAAGCATGCCCCAAAGTAGGCGTTGGTTTTCCAACCAAACCTACTTTCTTTTGCCAACAGCCAATTGTGAATTTCTCTCATCTGAGCTGTGCAGTATTCTCCAGGTGTTTCTTTTATTTCCGACAAAATGTATCAAAATTACTATTAAATAACGGCCCTTGCTCTAATGCGTGGCTTTGATAGTCGACACAAACGCAAAACTCAACCCGAAACCTAAAGACGTACACATGTAACGTTGGCAACAGTCCGAATCCCGTTTTCTCGCTCTCCACAAACGATGTGTCATGTGTCTTTTGTTTGTTAGGATATGCGTATTTATTATTCTTATGGCGCAATAAATGCCCTTTGAAACCCAATTAAGGCGGTTCTAATGCTACAGGTAAGGCAAGACACATACTTTACTTTATATAGTGATTTCTTATTCACAGAATTAAATGTTTCTTTCAAGGTCCTTTGCATCCGCAGATCGTCTGCTATGGTAGCCTACATTCCTTGCCTAAAGATCACTGTCAATATTCTAAGTTCTGCAAGACTTTAAATACATTTAATGCTTGGAATACTATTTTCCATTTTATTTGTGTTGTTGTGCCACTTTATCACAAAGCCCGTTCCTCACTTATGTAACATTAATTTTTTTTTTGTTTTTTGCCTTTGAGCTCTATTTTAAACACACCCAACCAGCATCTTGTATGTTCACATTTCTTTCATTTTCTACAGGCACAAACAATCATAAGCTCCTCCAAGGGACTTCTTTGTCTCGGACTACTGTGAAAGTACCTGCTAGCTCACAATGTCACAGCATGGGTACTCTCCACCTTCTAATGTGGAAACTAATGGACCGCCAACAGAGGGAGATGGTATTATCGAATTGCTCATTGAAACACTGACTGGCAATGCCTTCGGAATGACAATATCTCCATCTGATACGATTGCTGTTCTGAAAAGTAAAATCCACAGAGTTGAAGGTACGGCTAATTTTTATCTTACTGTGAGATTAATTAGTGTTATAAATTTATATCTCCATAATTTTTTGGAATTAAAATTTTTCAATAGCTTGTCTGCTATTAAAATTTGACTAAATAAAGAAGGAAGGGAATCTAAACATATTTATTTTTGTAATATTCAGGTATTCCAGTGTCAGCGCAACACCTGCTTTTTAATTTGACTGAATTGGAGGATAATTCCAAAGTTAGTGACTGTGCTATCAGCAATGGATCAACATTGAGACTGGTAACTTCAATGCGAGGTGGACCCATCAGCACTAGGCGTGTCTCACCAACACCAGAGGAACGAGCGTGGATGGATTTAGTTGATTCAAACAGGTTTGCTTTAGTTTTCAATTGACTTTATTAGTTGACCTACCTGTTTTACATTGGTTTTAGTTCATTCAGAAAGGCTTGATATAGTTTATTATTGCCTTAATAATTTGGCCCACCTGTTTGACATTGTGCATCTTTTCTTTTTTCTAGATGTGATGACCTCCTCCAGCGTATACCGTCTGGACAGCTGACAGTGCTTGTATTTTGTGAAGGTGAACAGTTCAACCTCTTTCGAGTGGTTGAAAATGCAGATGGCACTTATTCCCCAGTTCAAGATTCTGCTAACACCTCCACATCACGGTTGAGTTTCTTTCTTGTTACAGTTTGTTTTTACTTATTCGACAATACAGCTTAGTGAACCAATTTTTGGTCTTATTGTAGCAATGCACTCTCCACCGATGAGCCTGATGCTGCTGCACAACGACTTCGTGAGAACACGGTCACAATGGGGAAGATGAAGGAGCTGCAGCGAAAGCTAAACAGTAGTCGCAAGGTTCATATCTGTTTACCTTCAGTTTGTTAAGTGACAATTTGTTTAAATTCTTTTTAATTCTATTCTTGGTTCCAGGCTAAAATAAGTGGATCACAAGAATCTCCAAACATGGGAATGACATCAGTGGAACATCTTTCCTCCACAATAACAGATGCAAAGGCCAGTCCAGCTCACTGGAAAATTCAACCAACTTTGCAGTTGGCCTCTCAGTCTGATTCAAGGTCTTCCAAATTACCTATTGAACACGGTTGTTCACCCTCTCGAAGTACCCAGTCATCATCAAAAAGATCAATATCCTGTCCTCATCGGAAATTCACTTTGCCCCGTCTGGAAACTTCACATTTATCTCAGGCCAAAGGACCCCAACCATCCCTCCCTATTCCCTCCCGCCCTTTCCTTCCTGTGATGTCCGTCCCCAGACGAGCAAAGCAAGAGTCTGTAAGGTCATCTTCCTCATCATCTCAGGGGTAAACCTAAAATAATAATTAATACGTACCACCAATAGTATATACAAAACCCTTTTATTTATACAAACTTTGTACTTCTGTTCTCCATCTTCTCAAATTAGGCCATCGTTAAGAATACCAGCTCCACCAAGGCTTATAGCCCCTCCACTTCATATCCCTCCATTACTTCAACGTCCCCCACCTTTAAGGCCAATGTGGAACCAACGGCAAGGACCTGTTGTCGTACCAGAGTTGAATCCATGTTCAGCTCCAATGCCTAAAATCCGTACACTATTAAGTAAGTGCCTTAAAAAAACAGGCCAATCTTGTTTCATTTAAGATACTGGTTTACCTGTTTTGTAACAACTTATTTATGTTTTCTCTCAACAGAAGAAGATACAGTGCAGTATGTGAATCCACAGCCCTCATCTTCAAGGATACCAGCAATGTGCCAAAGTCGCAGACGATTAGATCCAATTGTGCCCCAGAGAGAGCTTATTACAAACTTGCACACTGGCATTCAACAGCCTCAGTTGCATGTTTCACCGAGCAGTCAATCAGACCCGCAAAGTGGAGCTGGAGCTGCAGTACATTTGGTACCGATGGCTGCACCTGGTGTGCAGAAGAGGAATAACTTAATCAACGTCTCCAATTGTGTTTTTGTACCCAACACTGTGGTTGTACCCCAGCCAACACCACCAATGCAGAGTGCCTGCCACTTGTAAGAAAATTTCTTGTTGAGTTGGTAAACTCAATATTTTCAATTTCATATGTGTTCATGTCTCTTGAGACATAATTATTTTTTTATTATTTTTTTTTCTCCTAAATGTTGCTTGATATTTGAGAGGGAAAACAGATCAAAGCTGATTTTCGTTTGTTAATTATTTTGCACAAACTTTCATTTCAAAATTTTTAGGTTTGATGTAGTTTTGTAGTTTCCAATTCCAATTTTAATATGCATTTTTATGGTAGATTTCCTTATACAATATTGCTTATAGCTTTATGTGTGAATAGCTTACCTGTTAAAAGAGTATGTATACTCTTCACCCAAACTAAACAAAATTGCTGGTCAGAAAATTTTCTGGTTAATTGATAAACAGTTGAAGCGAGGCTTGTGGTAGCCTGTAAGATCCTATAAAATCACACCTTGACTTTGTTACCATTTTGCAATCTGATTTATAAGTTAACACACTTTGGTCTATTTTTACCTTGCATTCCTCATTTATAATTCAGAGGATTTTTAAAGTGTGAGGAAACAAAACCTGACCCAGCCTTTATATTTTTAGCGTTCTACTACGGGGCCCCACCACCAGTCCTGAAGAAAGATTTACGGAGTACCTCACTGCATATCTTACTCAGAGTTTCTCACGTTTCTCTGGTATGATCCCAGAGAACTTGCCAGTGTGCTTGTCTCATAAACTCACAAAACGTTTATCACATCACTTTGTTGGTGGCTTATCCGATGTTGCTGTAAATCGACTGTCCTTGCACCTTTCCAACTGCATATGTCAGTTTCTGGAAGAGTGCCTATCCAACAGATGCCCCAAAGATGTGTCAAGACAAGCTCTTCGCACTATACTTGAAGAGAGGTTAGTGAACGTGCAAAATATACTTGCTATGCATCTTCTGCAGAAGAATTTAAAGTGTAATTTGTAAAGATGAACTGCATCTATCCAAAGCTGCTTTCCTTCTGAACATTCTAACATATTTGTTGGAAGTAGGAAAAATATAACAGCTCTCTGTGAGTTTAAGGATCAACAATACTTTTCCCATGTCCATTTCATCCCTGTAAGTGTGTATGTGCGCCAGCCAGACCCTTTTGATGTGGCCTAGTTTATGTTAGCTGTCTTTGGTCCTTTCATTGCAATATAAAATAGAAGCATGAGTGGTTGGTTTGTGGTGTCACCCGGTAACAGCTTCTACCGCATCCAATAACGACGATTTTGAAACCTACAACTTGTTGGAGTCGGTTATTGGAGGTTGCCATGATGCAATTGGTCAGTACTTTTTGGCCCGTCCCGTACCATTTACAAAGAAATGCCGGAGGACGGGCATACAATGCATGCTGTGCGTTTTTTCGTCCGTCCTTCCGTCCGAGGACTTTGCTTGGTGCGATCCTCACCAAATTTGGTATGGAGCCCCCTTGGGCAACCCGTAGCACTGTTCTGTTACTGCCTTTTCAATCCGAGCCGCAGGGGCGCTGCTGGTTTCGAGTGGATCGATGAAGTTTGGAAACAGGTTCGAATCCTTATAACGATTACTACGGCCGAAATTTAAGTTACACGTTTTTCAGGACGCTGACGACAAAATGTCATCTATTTTGACCCACCTTCAAATCCCACTTAAGTCAAATTTGATCAAAATTTTTGTTACGTTTATGATGATTTTATTATTATAATTATTTTATTATTTTCTGTTAAGTAGTTCAAGATGGTACAGAGAATCGACGAATTTCATACATCTTCGAGGGAGCTGATGACAAAAATAACTTGCATTTGGACCGTTGACCGTGGTGCAAGTCCTGTTGGGGCCCAAACCAAACAATGTTGTTGTTTCGAGTGCAACATTGTTCCTTCTGTTTACAAGAGTGCTCATAACCGAAATCACATCCATTTTAACCATGATCCCTGAATGAGGTTCGAATCCGGCCAAGGCCAAGGTGCAATATAACCAAAATTTCTGAATGCTTCAAAAGTACGGGACAGGCTAAAGTTTCTGATTTGTATTGCCACTTTTCCTGTTATTGACTGGATACAGCAGTTTAGGACATTTGTTATTGCAAAAAGTCCAACATCACATACTTTCAAAATTTTTAAAGTATAGGGGTTCTTGTTTGCAGGACAGCTCAAGGATACCCTCTCATCGGACACTGTAGGCAGGCAGAGTAGGTATCTCTAAAGGTTTAAAAACCAGAAAAACAAAATTTAGAGAGAAAACAATTTGTTTAAAATCGGGTTGCGCTACATAATTAGCCATTTGCTTCCAGCTTTTAGATACTTTCAAAACATTTTTTTACTTCCCTTTCAACTTCTTCCAGCTTAAAGTGTTGTGCTTGAGAACCAAGACAAAGCATGAATAACTTTGATTTTAATGAAAAACACATTTGAATTTTGTAACTTTTCACACTGAATTTTAATTTTAAGCTTTCTTTCCAGTTTATGGGACCCTCATATGAGAGTTGCTGTGAGGGGTTTGCCGACGTTCAGTGCTGATGTTGGCACTAACTTCATTCATAGCCCAGAGCCAACACGAGACAATATCAGGGAAACAAGAGAACTTTTTTCTCAAATCCCTCGCTTTCATTCAGCTCCCACTCCTCTTACCTCTCAGGTTAGTTTCTCCTTAAATAAGATAATATTATCTTATGAAATATTTTATTTTTATCTTAATGTTGTATTGCTTATCTTTGCTCTTTTAGGGTGCGGGTGTGCGTCACTCTGTCTTTACGGGACTTCATCGTGAGCCCCTGTATGTTCGACTGAATGATTCCTCTATGTATCAGAGGGGAATGGTACCAGTGCTTGTGAGACCTGCCACAAGCCCCAAATTTCCTCCTCCAATATACTGCAACACTGTGCAATCTGGTAAGGCTTGTATTTTTCAAAATTTCAACACCATTTATGTCCATTTATTAATATTTTTAACTTACCAGGTCCACCTTCTATGGAAGTTCTGAGGCGATTCATTGATTCTGTTCCACAATTGAGACAGCCTCGATTGCAGACTGAGATACCTAGGGACCAAAGCCAGGTTCAAGTCATGAATGGAGTAGGCAGATTGTCAGTGCCATTTCGATCACCACCTCCTTTTGCTGACCCATCTCAGCAACCAGTATTCGGTCAGTTGTGAATATTTTATGATGCCTTTATGGTCAAGAAAGGTCTACCTCATTCTAATTTTCATTTTGTTTAAGCAGCAGGGTATCAGGCCCCAAGAGTTAGATGGCGCACTGTAAAATACTCAGCTCACCCTAACTCGCCTCCAAGATTGCCGACTGATCCTGCTCAAATTGAAGTGCAGACTGGAAATGATAATGGTAATACAAATCTTTTGGCTGCCTTGCGGCAAAATGTTGTTGTTTATAAAATATAATAAATATTTTGTTCTAGTTCAAGGCCAAGGTGATAGCCATTTATCTGAAACAGAGTCCAAGTTACCAAAGAAGTCCAATCATAGGTGTTGTCAATGCCGGAAAAAACTGACAATATCCAACAAATACATGTGCAGGTGTCAGAAGCTATTTTGTTCAACACACAGGTAAATTTTAACTGGATTTGGATTGATATGACTGATATGAGTTTTTACATTTCTAATGTTGTACGTTTTTCTGTCAGGTACTCTGAAGCCCACAATTGTAACTATGACTATAAGGAAGAGGGCCGAAAGGTGCTGCTGCAGGAAAATCCACAAGTGATGGCAGAGAAGATAGTAAAAATGTAATTTACCCATTCAACCAACCTTCTACCACCAACGTCTTCTCATCTGCTTTTTTTTTCTTTTAGCTTCATTTAAACTAATATCTTTCAAGATTAGAATTTCTTTGATTAGGAGTGTGCAAATATCTTTCAGTCTGTATTCTTTGTAGTAAAATTGGATGTTACAGATTACTAAATTAATTTTAGTGCTCTCAATGTGTTTTAACTAAAGTAGATTCTCTTGTGCTATTAACCTTCGTGATTTAAAATTTTTGCAAGTACGTTTCAATTCAGTTTTTTGTTGTTCTGTTTTTGCTGCCATTTTACTGGCCTTTTTGAAGTTTTACTTGTTACCAATTTCCTCAGAACTTTGCTGGTCAAAGAACATCACCATTAATATTCAAGATTTCAGTGTTAATTTGACTGTTCCTACAACTTTGTAAAATCCTCTTTGCTGTTCTGTTATTATTGTTATTTTTCCAAAAAAGTGGGTTTAATGCTGGAACGGAAAACGCATACACTAGGAAATCAGCCTCTAGGCCAAAAATTTTTTGATCTGCTGGTTTAACTTGAACAAATTAGTTTCAAGTCAAAATATTGGAAACTCTTTGAGTTGTTGTGTGTGTTAGTCTGTGGATTAGATGTGTAAGGTAGTGGCTCGGGTTTGAGTCAGTGAGCAAACTGACAATTTGGATTTCATGGTCCAACATTTTACATCAATGATGTCTGTTGGTGCTCACTCCTCATCCTGAACTACTATCTGGATTGAGGCTAGCATTACCCTCAGTAGTCTGGTAATAATCTGTGTCTGTGTCGTCCATTTCCTCTATAAATTTGTTAGAAATGTAGTTTCTTTTTATTCCTCTGAGTGTCTTTATCTGCTTGCACACTCCTAAATTAAACATCAAGTGCCCTTTCTTCATTCCTAGGGTATGGGTAATATTTATCTGTTGTTCTTATATTTTTTGTAGCCTTATCAGAAGATGATTGTTTAGTTACCTATCTGCTCTTCTGCACTTACCCCTCCCATCTTGAAACTTTGCGGAGGAAATGTTGTGTTTCTTTGGTACATTATGTGTATTTATTGTGTATGTTCATTAGAGTGTATGGAGAAACATGGTTTTTCAAATTTTGATGCTAAAGGTCCAGAAAATTTGTAAACCCTGTCAAAAATTTCCTTTGCTCAGATAATGTTGATTATGACTTTCAGGTTAAGAAATTGCTCCTCTATGGTTGGTCGGTTAACTGGTTGATTGATTAGGATGGGTTTTGGTGGAACCCGAAATGCAGCCACCTTCTCGTGGTGGGTTCTGAATCGTTCTGTACAGCGGGCTAAGAGCTGCATACTAAAGTGGGATGAGCCTGGTTATATTGGGGGTTGATTAATTTTTTTGTGTTTAGTCCCTGGCTATATCTCACTGTGGAAAGAATGATTCTTTGTTTTAGGGCGAAGAAGCCCCCTTTTGTGTCAAGGCATGGATGACAACTTTTCCACACCTCCCCCTCGTTGAAATTTGAAAAATCGTGTTAGTGTTTTTTTTTGTTGCACTCTCCATTGCTTACGCCTCATCTTCCTGTGTGGTTAAGGTTCTTTTAGTGTGTTGGGCTCGCCGAGCTTACATAATCTGCTGTCACTGTATATCAGCAGGCCTTGGCCCCACTGTAGGGGTACTGCCTTTACCTATGAAATCCAATGAATTACTAAGAGTTGAGGAGATCTCTCTCTGCTTAATGTTAAAGATTTATCATTCTTACATGTTAATAACATTATTTTTGACTGTTTTTTGTTCTTTGCCAACTAAAATGTATTGGTGGTCACGCCATATGTGATATGTGATGTGAATCCATTGTACGGTTGTGATATTTAATATTACATTAAACTAAAAAAATTAGTTCCGACTATGCATCTGCCGTGGCTTTTGCTATTGGTAGACCGTGGGTGACGCGGTCGAGGAGGGTCAGGCCAGGCCGCTCTGGTCCAAGACAGATACCGACTGATACTGGGCTCTGGGCCCGATCGAGGCCTGCCTGGCCGGGCTTGCCCTCCGGAGAGGCCTATCTCGGCTCCGACCGGGTCAAGCAGGCCAGGCCCAGGCCCACGCCCCTGCCCGCGGGCAGAAAAGTCTCCGGTCCATCTTACCCCTGGTGAAACAGTCCCGTGTCTGCGCTACCCCCTTTTTTTGGAGGGGGAAGGGGTAAGCTAATCCCGTGACTGTACTACACACTCTCGCGGGAACACATTCGTGTTATGGTCCAGGACTGCTTTACTGGGGATAATGTGGTCTGGGAACCATTCCTTTGTGGATGCGGTAACAGAGTTCCCTCATGGTTCCCTCACGCCCTCACACCACTATCCCCCCCAAGCAGCATAAAGGAACAGAAAGAGGTCACAATGATAGAAAATTACATGCGTCAAGATGGCATCATTACTGACGTTCAAAGTTAGCTTTTTTGACGTCAAAGGGATGCCAATTGATATCCTTTTAATCTATATCCTGTGATGCGAATTTGACCTAGTCAAATTCAGGTCATGACGGGTGACGGCGGCAGAGCGTGACCTCATTTTATCAATTTTAGCTCACTTGACGTCAACTTGACCTTTTTCTGTTCTCTGGGTGAGAGTCTATTTTGGCACGGACGTCGTGAGGGCGGCGTGCGCGAGGCGTGCGACGACCTGGCTGGGGGCTGATAACAGGGTGTCAACACGGAACGGGCGGTCCGGGTCCGGGCGGGGCAGCCTCTCCGCCTTCCCCGTCCCGGAGGTGACGTCATGGCGCACGGCGCGGCCGCGACCCGCGACGTCGGCCTCAGGGACACCCTCAAGCGGTGATCGGTAGGGGGGATTCCCCCTCCCCTTCCTGCTTCCTTGACCTAGATTGCCGCCTGAAAGGTACGCCAAAAGCTACTCCTTGTCCCTGTAATGAGGCAAAAAGTGCCCGCCTCGGCTCTGGTTCCGCCGAGAGCTGGACAAATTCTGCGAAGGGAAGCCCCCGATTGCGCGGCCTTGAGTCAACGCACAGTGCACCGCACGCAGGGCGACGCAGAGCCATTCCGAAGCGTCTCCCGCCTCTCTCGCACTCACTGGGCGTTCAGTAATGTAGGTGCGAGAGGCGGAGCGACGCTGTCGCGGAGTGACCCTGCTGCCCGATGCCCTCCACGACCTGCTGGAGCGTGGCTGCAGGCCGCCGTGCGCCGCGGGGGGCCGCCTTCGCCTTATCGGCCAACGCGTTCCTCTCAAGCGAGCACGTGACGCACCGATCCGGTGAGGTCGTGGTGGTGCGTCAGACGAGTCAGACCACCAGCAGCTGCTTTTGACGGCAGTGGACGCAGTGGACCTCCACCGCGAGCATCCTGAGTTCTCCAGGGCCGGTACTTGCTGGGACAAAGTAGTGCTGTTTGCCTACCTTCCAGGCGGACTACCTAGTGCCCAAGGATGTGGTTATTACTCCCATTGCACCCTCTGGATCCGCACCTGGTCGAGGACGTGCGTGGCACGCAGTGGCACGCAGTGGCACGAGCACCGCCGCCCCTCGAACAACCGGCGTGGCCTCCGACGCGACTCCAAGCTGTCTCTCTCGCAATCCTTACGCGACACCCCACGAGCCATGAGCGACATATGCAGCTGCTGGGCAGGGGTCGTCAGCGCGCACTGCTGGGCTGATGCACGGCGGTCCTGCAGCGTGCACTGGTCTGGCAGGGCGTGGCGTGGCCATGGCACTCCTACTGGGCCGCTGGGGTTGGGGGGCACGTACGTCACTGTTGTGCAGACTTCTATCAGCCCGTTGTATCACGCGAATCAGCGGCCGGGGCGACCGCGACCACGCCACGCTGGCGCTCGAGCCGAAGCAGCGAAGCAGCCCAAGCACCAGCACGGCCGGCAGAGCGTCGAGTGGCACCGCCAGCACAGCCGGGCTCTTGAGTGAGGGGCTGGAGCTGCACTCCGTCCGGGACAGAGAGCCTCAGAAAATGATAGTCGAAAAAAAAGCGAGAGACAGCGACACTGTTCAGAGTCACACAGTGGGCCAGAAGACCGTTGCCGGCGGCCAAAACTCCAGACGCGTTTTGAACTCCAGAGTCGCGCTAGACATGACTGGAACCGAGCGCGTGACTCCACCAATGGAGTCGTTGTTAGGAGAGATATTCATTGGTGGGGTCAGTTGTTCGGTTCGAGTCCCATTCAGCGACTCTGGAGCTCAAAGCGCGTCCGGGATTTTAACCGCCTCCACCCCTAACTTCAAACTTGATCGGTCTTCTTTGGCCCGCTGGTGTGTCCGGTGCGGTGCCCCGCGATCGAGTGCGACGAGGTGCGATACAGGCCTTGATGGGTGAATCCGATCTCGGCTCGCGACCCAATGAACATGCTTCGCATTTTTTGGGGGAAGAGGGGTGGTGGCTCCTGGTGGAACCCAACTCCCCCTCTGTGTGAACCCCAGCCAAACCGGCGAGTCAGACTCCAGAAATACACAAGCATTGTTTGAAAAGCCGTCGTAAATTCACGACAACTTAGTGGCTTATTTTCGTTACTACGAAAGTTGTTTTGGAATGATTTTTGGCCATTAAAGAGACTTTTGTTAATTCGTTTATAAATTTTGCTATAATTTTTGTTCTGTTTTTTTTTGTAGGAATTATTTTTAAAACGGACCGACAACTGACTCGCTATAAAAACAAGCGATAGATTTGTCGTATATTTACGTCCAAAGTCTTAACAAGAAGTAAGCTGAATCGTCGGGAAACGTCATGGTTGTTCTGATGAAATGGCAAAGTATCGCCTCTTTTTAGCAGTGAGGGCGTCGTGCCGGCCACATCCGACACGCCCCGTCCTGCCCTGTCCTCGAGATCCCGTCGTCCCCACCCGGGTCCCGCCGGGCAGGGCAGGCAGGACACAAACATGGCGTGAGGTCCAGCGGGGCCGCGTCCTGATCCTGACACGGGCTTGGCTGGCGCGCCGCGCCGTGCCGCGCCGTGCCGCCGATCGGACTTTGATCACGTCCACTGCCGCATGGTCAAAGTCCAGCGGCGGCCTCCTCTGCCCGGGACCGATAGAAATGGTAATTGGAGACCATCTTTTCTGAATAACACGTCAGGCCCCCCCGGCCTGGCCCGGCCTGGCCCGGCCTGGCCCCGGCCTCCCTGCAGCGATGCCTCGATAACCCCGGGGGGCCGAGGGCAGGGCGCTGGCGGCTCAGCGAAAGGGGGACGGGCCGTCCCGGGCGGCGACGGCGGCGACGGCCCTCTCGGCGGCGACACTGTGCACACTGTGTCGAGAGCGGCGGCGGTCCTCCGGCCGCGAGGCGAGGCGCGCCCCGCCGACTCGCGGGGTTCACGATGTACCAACGGTGTCGAAACGGGCTGTTGCTTCGTGCCCGCTCAACACATGTTTGTTTTTCAGTGTCGGTTCGCGTGTGTCAGCAACGAGTGTGTGAGAGATATTTGCAAAATAAAAAAAGAGTGCTGAAAAATGTTTAATTTTTATTGCGGGAGGGCAGTGGTGAGTGAGGCGGGCGTGCCGCGCGGTGCTGCGGTGGACGACCTGGCGGAGCTAAGCGCGGTGTTGCGGCCCTGCCGCGGACAATCGGCACACAGAAACAGCAGGCATTATCGGACACGCCGAGTGCCGTGCCGGCCCGAAATAGCCATCCGGGCCAGCTCCGGTGACCCGCGCTGCCCCGAGCCACTCAACCCCGGCCCGCCCCGCCCTGCCCCTTTCCGGGGGGTTGTCCGCTCCGGAGCGCGGGGCGCCGCGGGCGGGGTCGGTGGCGTGCGCGGCCACGTGAGTCCACCACAGGGCCGGCTTAATGTCTTCCGCGAAGCCATGCACCGCTCCATACCTTGACCTGCGCGCGACTCATCGGCGACCCGCCTCCGCGGCGTGCGGTATTTTTAAGGCTGTCCGTTTTGGGCACTGACCAACGCACATCCCATCGTAGTGCCTCAATGTACCCCGCGGCACCTTCCCCCTTCCCCGCGACGGGCACGGCGACGGCGGCTGTTCTGTTGCGGACGCCGCCGCGCGCTCCTTCGCTCCTTCGGGGAGGACGCCTGCGATGGTAGGCAGCGCGCTCCACAGCGGTGCATGGGGGTTGCCCCTCGCACTTCGTTAGGCGCTCCGAGGCTCGACGCGCTGCGCTGGTGTAGCCGCAAGCTGCGCTCTGTGGTGGTGGCCGCACTCTGTGGTGGTGGCCGAGGTGGTGGCTGCACTCTGTAGCCGCACTCATGGTGGCTGCACTCTGCTGGCACTCTGTGGCTTCGGTGTAATCTCAGCCTCTTTGTTGTCACCGCTCGGCCGGTCATCGTCCCCGTGGCCCGGCGTGGCCCGGCGTGGCCCGGCGTGGCCGGCCGGCCGCCCGGTCCAGTGCAGGTGCTGCCGCGCTGCCGCGCCATGGCAGGGAGACCGAAGAAAGCCCGCCGCCTTATCTCCCGGCAGTGTGCCAGCGGCGCGCTTTCGCCAACGAGGTCCGCGGGGCGGTGGTGGGCGGCGGTGGGCGGCGGGGAGCAAAGAAGCCAAAATAAACGAAACCGAACGGACACTTTCTTTTGGCCGCCTTTCTTTTCGTCTCTGCTGGGAAGATGGACGGGGTGGGTTGGTGTCGGTCGTTGCTCGGGCCGCTCGTCAGTGCCCGATTCGGTGCCCGATGGGGCCTCTCACGGCCTCACGGCCACGCCACCCGGCCCCGCCACCCGGCCCCGCCACCCGGCCCGGGGCGTCGGTGGGCCTTGGAGGTGCACGTCGAGACTCACCGTCAGTCACACATTTACGCACATCCGGTGGCGGTACGTACCGTGGCCGCACGTTCGTGGCTCACGTGTCCGGGCGGCACATGTGACCGCTGCGCTGCAGACTATTCCGAGAGTCGTCTTCGTCGCCCTGTCTCCCTCGCACATATATATGAATGGAACGCTCTTGAGAG